AAAGAAGAGAACACGTGGCATCAAACGGATGAACCACCGTTCTATATCCCGGTAAGTTGCCACGTGGGCCACCATCCAACTATAAAAGCCACAGCTAATCTCTATCACTAACCTGTTATAAGAACATTTCTTCCACGCCCGTAGAGACACAGGTTGTAGACCTTCTGAATCTCGGCAGTAAACCAACTGAGGATTCCACAGAGTTTGAGCAGATGCACAAAGCTTCACTTTGAAATAAGCCATTATAATTTTCAGAGCAATAGAAGATTATACACTGTTTTTCTGAACTTATAGGGCTAAAATTTGATTAGTGAGGTGGATAATACTTTGTTGATTCATCTTGATTTTTTACTATTTTTATTTAACTCCTAGTTGTGTTCATTGGTAATATTCGCTTACTTAACCCGGAAATCTGGATCTGAAATAAACATCTGTAAGGTATTGGTTGCTCTCTGAGTTAGCTACTCGTTTCCGGGCTTAATAAATGTAATATGTCTAATTACCCAAGCAGCTAGTATGCTAACGGAATTGGGGATATCGATGACAAAACGAAAGTCAGAAAGACGCATTTATATGATATGTGCTATGATGAGCGGTATATTTGAATGGAATAAAAAGTTAAGATTAATTTGGGAGAAGGTTTTGTAACTTATCTACCCACTATGGTTGAACTATAGACTCAAAATCTATGCGTTCTAGTAACATGAGGAAGGAGTGCGAAATGGTGTCTGAGCCTGTCCGGATTTGTACTCACTGAAATAAAACTTAAAAACACCCAAATCATACGCAGATGGGCTAGATGCTTATTTAGTTAATACTGAGTTAATTTGGTTTGATCTATTAATTGTGGCCCTAGGTTTATTTTGGTTCTGTGGAAGGTACATTTTTCATTGTAATAGTAGCATCTCAGTTACAGTCCAACTGGTTATCGTTAAGTCTGCACTGTATGCTCATTTCGAAATACCCATTTTCCTACATGTAAGAGTCTTTGACCAGTTCAGTTGCTTCCAGAATGGAATCTTTCTAAGGCACCACCTTCGTGAAACTCTGTACTACCCGAGTTATGCTTTTATATTTGCACCATTGGTCTTGAGAAGGTGTTGTACACAGACTTTCAATGAGAGTCCTTTACAGATACTGCTGGTAGTATCATTCATATTCAATGTCTCATAAACAGGTGAAACATAATTCTTTCCATTTTGTGACTTTAGTAATCTGATGCAAAAACGGGTCACTGAAATAAAATTTATAAAAACCTGACTGAATGTACGAAACCATGCTTCTGGCTATTCTTGTTCAAGTTTTTCTGCTGTTAGTTTGATGCCAAGCCCCATACTATATGTGACTTGACGAAATTTAACTTTATGTTTACATTTACATTGCTTTGGCGTCTGAAGTATCTGTAAGTTACCCATAATTCAGCAGTGTAGACATCATACCATCGTTAATATTCGGGATTAAAGGACTCTATATGAATAACCCTAGTCTGAATTCCTTTGTTTCTCAAGTAACTGCATTACGAGTAATGAATTATTTTAATCCAGGACAGGGTTGGTCTTAAGAAGGTGTAGGTGATGTGAATTATTATCATTCAGAGTATTAGAACCTAAAAGTGAGATTGGTGGTGTTCTTTAAGGGAATATCTCTCTTAATATATCGTTTATTGAGTCTATAAGAACATATAAACTGACAAATTAAGACGCTTGCACCAGAACAAATCAGTCACTTCATTTAATTTCATAGAAGCATAAAAAAATAAATAAACTTTAAATGATGATGATAAAATACTAAACCGGTGAGACGAAATGAATTTGTTTTTAAACAATGCGCAGAATTTTTCTAACTGTGAAGCTTATGAGAGATGGCTAATTCTTTGCCACTGTGGTAGAATGGGAATCGTCTTCAAATGGACTTCTTTGTTCTTTGAGCTTAGCTCATTCCTTTACATTTTTACTTCTTTAAAGAAGCTGACATTTACAAAGGACAAGGGGGATAATTGATTACAACTTTCTCATTTTAGGATCGTTTATTTGGTTTAAATCATTGTGTTTTAATTGGGTGATTTTCCGAACACGACTTAATCCCTGTTATTATACCCATGTTGGCGGTGTGGTGAGAGATGGCTGTTAGCCAAATTGGTAGACAGTAATTGACGTCAATGTTTATGCCTCAAATATTAATCATGTGAAAACAAGGTCAAAGATGGACAGCAGACTTTGCGTAGGCGGATAGATGATCTGACACTCAAGAGACAGCAACAAAGAGATGAAAGATTAACTTTTAGTGAGAAACAACCAATCAGAAAACTGTGTTTGTGAGCTAACAGTAATCTAAAATAATGTACACGAAAATCTATAAATATGTGTTGATTTCATTAATAAACAATCTGTTGCCTGACTCTTGCCTTCTGTCGTTACAGCGGCACAGAGGTAGAACGCTCACCAACCATTCACGTGGTCTGGGATTCGGTCCCTAGCAGACTCACTCCTAAACCTCGCCTAGCTGGTAGTATGACAGGTAAAGAGGGAAGGATGCATGTGATGACAGCAACCCCATCCTCGTAAAAATAAAACACCGCCACCACTGAAACTTCAAGGCTCAAGGTTGAAGCCCTATGTTCCACTCGGAATTAAAGGGAGTAACAAGATTATTGCATCAGTGTATTAACACGAATTTCTGACCCGTTTGATATAGCTTTATTTCTTCTAATGGAATTTTCCGCAAATCCGAGGACGGTTTCGAATCATTTCTATCAAAGGTGTCTGATTCCAATCCTATTCATAATTCTAGGTGGGGTTTCGGATGTAGTGCTTTCCCCTGATCGTTATTTATACCAGTAATACTATTTTCGCCATAAGTTTTAGAAATTCGTGGAAGAATTAATGAGGTTATTCATGTCGCAGTTATTTTCTTCTCATTTCTTTTATTTCCGTATTTAAATTTTCTGTATAACTAGTTTAACTGCTGACGCTATTACTTTGACATTTAATCAGACCTGCTCTTAGTGTGGTTGAATGAAATGGTTCAAAGTTAAAGTATCTGTCAGAATGTTTATGCTACGTATGCCTAGTCATCGTCTTCCTCGACGGGCAATGTTAGCTGATATAGGGCCAGGCTGGAAAAGAGCTAGCGGCGGTCAAACGAAAACATGGCACCAGTCGATGAAATCTACAACAGTTAGTCTAAGCCACTTAGGAAGATGTAGACTTCCTGGTTGGTGTCCTCGGGACGGTAAAACCAATGGTTGGAAACAATTGGTGACATGGCTCAAAATCGTTCTCAATGTCTGGCGCAGATGCATCCACTCCTTGTGACTTATGATTTCCAATGAAACTCTTTTGTTCTCCGTTATTACTATTCCTTTGTCTCACACCTCTGTTTACTGTCCATATTATACATTTCTTCTACTGTCTTCTCTTGGTTTGTGTGCTACATGGAGTGTGGCGACTTGAACTGCCGCACATATGTGCAAAGTTCTATGTCGAAAACCGACCGACCGACCTATCTGTCAGAATGTGATATTTTTGTAGATGAAATTATCTAAACTTCCGTGCTATTTTCACTTTATTTTATTTTCACCCTTCAATATACCTGACCTAATTTATCCTGTTCTCTTCTAGCTTGAAAGTAAAGCCGATTCCATACATAAGTTTATATGTGGGAACAAAATACAGCGCCTACATATCTCTTCCATAAGTGGGGAGAAGTACTAGGCTCATTTAGAAGCTAGTTTTTCAACTATGCATGAACATATAAATATCCCTATTAGATATATTAGATGTCTGACTATCACATCCGATAGCTCAGTAGGACTGACACAAAACGAATCTCAGATTTGTGGAAAATTCTACCAGAAAATCTGAAGAAAAAATAAGAACTAATATAAAGCTGGTTAGAAAGTCGTGTCAATACACTGATATAATTATACGGAGTGAATTGTATTCGAAACATCATCTAATTAAAAACACTGTATCACTGTCTTTTAGACCAAGTAAACTTACCTGATGTCAAATTATACTTTACTGTAATCCCGAAGTTCTTCTCTTGCACTAGGCAAAGTATTATTTTTAAAAATATCTTTGAGTACTTATTTCATAAAATCTTCATACTTATAGCCAAGAATGACGATTACTATTGAAGTCATTGATAGAAAGTTTATAAAAGTAATATGAAGGAAATGTGTACTCACACGTCTATAGTAGGATCGTAATTTCTCACTGCTGAAAAATCCCAAGCTTTAAATGAGAAAGTTGCCAAGCGCCTCTAGGATCTCAGTGATTATCAGAATTATGTTAGTGTGTGATGGAATCTATACTGAACCCTTACCTTATTGTGTTAATAACTCCAAAAGACTACAGATAAACCTCACATTTTCAGGGATACATACTGTTGAAAAGAATTTTATCGTTATACCCCATTTGGAAATATGATAAGTTATGAAAGGTATTAAAAAACTACAGAAAATAAACCAACGATGTAATATATGTCCAAGCCAAGCTCACTTTAAACAGTTTGAAAGAAATTTAGGCATTGGCTGTATGATATTCATTATTATAAAAGTTTTGTATTTCCTAATGAATGAAAAGCAAAACGATGCTGTTTTCACTGACATCTGGCTATTTAATGCTGTTAATAGCTTTATCAAAGTGTTATTAAACCAGAATTTAGAAAATCTCAGCCTACGTATAATAACTTAATCATCGTTCATCATCGAGGGGTAATTTTTAATTTGTGAAGTTGGCCAATTGGTAAAGGCTATTAGCACTAAATAGCGAAACGTCAATAAAAAAATATTGTTTTTTTCATTCATTGGGAAAGACAAAAAACTTTTATAATAATGAAGACTAAAGATGTAGTTATATACATATATATATATACCACAATGTCTACACAGTATTTTAATAACTAATTTGTATGTTGTGAAAAACTAAAGTTTCATATTTTTGTTTCATTTTAAAAGAATAAAGGTCACTTTTGATATTTATTCATCAAATAATAAACTTTAATCAATTTAAGAATACTTAAGCTTATGCAAACACTATGATGATAAATTCAAAACTTATTTTACCATTTTTCATTTGATATTGCAATGAGTGTGAATTATCTTGAAATATTAATAATTTTAACACAGTTCAGTACAATTATTTCTGCACGTAATAGCCCTAAACGTGATTTAGCCTGTAGAGATGATCATCCAGAGTATTTATTGTATCCAGGTGATGTTTTACTGGGTGGATTATTTCCAATTCATCAACGTCCAGTTATTAGTAAAGGAATATTACAAGAACCTAAATTGACTGCAACTGGATATAAGGTGAGAATGTTCTAATCGTAATGTTGATTGATATATCTTGTAAGGTTTAAATCGATATTATTTGTGGGAAGCAGTCACTGGGTGACAGTATAACTCGATACTCCTAGATGGTAAATGAAACGTATCGATCAGTTACACATTGTAATAAGTAATCTAGGTGAAAATCAAAACAAGTGATTTAGCGAAGATATTCTTTTCAACGACTTTATTATCAGACTGTACATATATATATATATATATATATAATTTTTTTTTAATAATGTGAATCGCAACAGAAAATGTTTATCTACTCTATAAAATAGTTCATGGTACGTATAAATCTCAAAGGGAGATATAGAAACAATAATAAGAGTAGTAGATAATCAGGACATTAAGTAACAGGATGATAATTACAATAGGACCACATTGTAACGTGGATTTCATTCAAGAGGGTGCAAGGACGCTATACTTTGTGGTTATAAACAAGTGGACGTGAGGCTAGTAGAAACGCACCAACTGAATATCTGGTAGATACGGGTCATATTATTTCGGCACCCTATTCATTTAACTACAAGAAGAAAAATAATCTACCCAAATTACTACGTATCTGACTCATCTGTATGGCTGAAGCCTTGGCCATAGAGATAGAAAAGTCAGACCACTGGATATAAAAATTTTTGTCCAATCATTTCTTGTTTTGTGGTTCTAATCCGTCTATACTAAACTGTTATAATCCCTAATCTTACTTTACCACTATTTAGATTTCGTTTTGTTTATTCAATTTGTGTATCCTTCCCTTATTATTTCGACTGTAATTACTAATTTAACTTTGAACAATTTCCGGTATTATCTCACTTGTCACCTCCATTTATATAGATAAGTCTGATTCTTTTGCATTGTTTTATCATAATTATCAACTTCTTAAGTGTTATTCTAATTGCTTATTAATCCTAATATTTCTGCATCCCCCTTGAGATTCACACATTTTATGAATTTTTTAATAGAGTATATTTGTCATATAATCAAGTTTGCACATTTCAATAATAAATTCATTAGAAATAATCTCTTCTCTGGATCATTTATTTTGATTTTCTATGCGTCCTAGTGGGAATTTCCCACGAATTAATCTAGGTGACACAATAACACTCCCCATGATTTGAGCTGTGTTTTGTTATTCATTGTCAAATTTCAATCGGTAGGTACTTATATCTAGACTTCGTTTGTGCTTTTTCGTACGTATTCAGTCTTGAACTAATAATACGACCTCTTACGCCAATACTGACTGGTTGAATTCCAAATCTTTGAGAATGATGAGCGAGTTTTCTTAATGTGTAGAGCTTGAGAAAAATCATCCAGGTTTAATAATTTTACCAATCTTTGCCAAAGTGTGTTTGCAGTTTTGACGTAAATCATCTGTTAACTATGGTTCGAATATCTTTCACCCAGCTGTAGAGTCAATAACTTTTTAATAAGGAACTCAAATCACAACTGACTGATATAGATTTGAATAATTTGCAAGAAATTATTACCACATTATTATACTTGGGAAAAAACTTAGAAATAAATAACTGAACGGATTCCTGTCCAATGGGATTCACGTATAAAGTGATTTTACAAGGATGTAATATTCTTATTCTTTTAGTTAATGGTTAACAATAAAATCAAAGATTTATTAGATTTTAAATTTATTTGGTAAATTTCTTTCTATGTTGACTTATGTTCGTGTTCTCCCTAAAATTAAAACTCCATACTCATCATTATTTGCAATGCTCAGGTTGTAATTATGGTTACATTTAATAGTAAATGCTTCTCTTTGTTCAACAGACTTCAGTCATTATCGAAGTTTTAACTTTTTCGATTCCCCTACTGTCAGTTACTCACTATAATCAAGAAATAATTAAAAGGATGACAGTGATATTTGTATAAATAGTTTGAGTTCGATAATATATTGATTAATTAGAGAAACTTCATTGGCATTATTAATATTAGGAGGCATTTTACCCAGTAGAAAAAGATGGTTATCTAAGATTTTAAGTATACTAAAAGGTAATCCCCTACTATAGTTTTAAAAAGCTTCTACGTCTGAATCTAGATTTTATATTCCCTACTGGTAAAGCCTATAAAGCATGTACCAGCTGACTGTCATCTGTAAGAAATAGTATTTAAAGGTTATATGGCATTTATTTCTAGGATGGTTGATGCACGAGTTCTGAGAATTTTAGTGGATGATAAACAATAATTGTGGATATTTTGTTATTTTTAAGGTGAAAGAATGATTTGAAATAAAGAACAAATTATCTGTTTTGAGGAACACACACACACACAGAGAAAGACGAATCAAAATGGTACTTAACCTAAACCTTATTGCTTACAGACCAATTACCGACCGGTTGTTGAGAGAATATACATTATTACCTGCCTTATAAGCGGTTTTCCCCACATCTTCACTGAATGATTAACCTTCATTTAGTATACTTACCAAGAAACTAACATGCTTACTTGTCTATATCTAAAATTTCTTATGGTAATACTGATAATATTTATTATTGTTATTGCTATTATCATTTATATGACAGATGTTAGAAGCAATGCTTTACGCAATCGATGATATTAATTCTCGTCAGAATTACTTAAATTTTACGCTTGGGGCTTTAATTTTTGATACTTGTGCAAATCCAGATAGTGCTTTATTTCAATCACTTCATTTCATCGTAGTAAGTTAAAGTATTCAATTCATTATTTATTACTAACAATACAACTTAACACATTCACATGAACATTTGTATAACTTCCACAGGTATACATGCTTTAATGGAATATTCATGATGTAAGGGAGTAAACCTGATGACTGATCTGAGGGAGGAATAAAAAAATGAACATGAAGTACAGGTCAATTGCGATATTTGAGGAAAGTGAATTAGAAGAAACAACAACTATTCAGAAAAAAGCCTCAAATATCAATAAGTTGATGACTGAATATTCCGGTTTATTCACCACCACAGACGGTGAATCCTACAGTAATTATGATAAATTAAAATATGAGAAACAACTGGGGAAACAGGGGAATGTAGTCTTTGAGAGACGAATAGTCCTAGTATACCTAGAGGAAGAACAAGTACGTCAGAGGAATTTTAGACAAGGGAATAATTAAGAAATTAACAGTTTAGGCATTTTGGTGGAAAATTTCAAAGGGGATTATAAGTTCTGTATCCATTAAATAGCGAAACATCAGTAGAAACAATATCGTTTTGTTTTTCATCCATTGAGAAATACAAAAACCTTTATTAAAATGAATGTCATATACCCAATGCCCAGTTTTTTTCAAACTGTTAAATTATGTGTCCACTTTAGACGACTAAATAGCTTAGCTGAAATAAAGCCATGGGGAATGTCAACTATGATAGAAATACTAGACGTTTTGCAGAAAGATAAGTTGTTCACAGTTCTGAATTTACGATCGCGTTATCAACAGACGATGGTAGAACAAAATGACTAAAGCAGAACAGTCTTTGTTGTAGGAGTGAAGCAATTGTAGTTTCAACGAATTTCATTCGGGTTGGTAGGTGAGCTATTTAGGTTTAGGCGATTACTGAAGTTATTACTAAGGAGTGTTTAACTATTTTCTAGGTTCTAGAGAGATGGTCGTCACTGAAAAAAGTTGGTTATCCTTGAGGGAATTTACTCCAATGGATGCTGCCTTTACAGCAATAAAAATTCATGATCCTAAATATTCCATAGAAAGAAAAAGTAATGGCTGATGACTTCTCGAGACACGATATGGCATATAAAGTAAGTATCCTGGTATAGGATCCATTACAGGTTTGATATCTGCAGCCGCCATCTGAGAAAAATGTCTCCTCTTATGTTTGAATTAATTACAGGCCCTCAATAGTTGGTCATTTGAGGAGATTTTTAAAAGATCACCGTTTTCAGCTTGTCAGCGTGAAACTTCAAAGATACGCTCAGTATACTTTCAAACAGGCTCAGTTACTCCACTTGAACATTAGAATCACCTGTTAAGATGACGGTATCTGAACATTTCAAATCAAGTAACAAATCAGCGGACATTTAAAACAACTCAGCATTTGATTTGTCTGAAGTACAGTTAGACGGAGAGATTACGAAAAGACAGTCAAGCAGTAATTCTTCAGCTATTGGAGTCGATACCAGCCAATTTAGGAGAAGTAACGAAGGATTTTTCTGAAGCCCATAGGATATACTTTGTCGTATTGCCATATTAGCCAAGTGTTAAGAGAATGGTTACACTTGGATTTTGAGTGGATATCTTAAACTAGTGAGACCTATTTTTCAATTTTACATAAAGTTCGGAAGTTTTAATCTCAAGTATGAAGTTGGTACCATTGTAACAACAGAAGGCAGGAGTCAGGCAACAGATCATTTATTAAGGAAATCAACGCATATTTATATATATTTTCATGTACATTACTATGGATATTTAAGCAAACAAACACAGTCTTCCGATTGGTTGTTTCTCACGTAAAGTTAATCTTTCATCTATTTGTGACTGTTTCTTTAATGTCAAATCCTCTATATGTTAACTGCATCCGCCTACGCAAAGTCTGCTGTGGTCGGTTTTGAATCAATCTTTGTTCACATTTTCTCACGACAAATCTTGGGAACGTAAATATTGACGTAAATTACTGTCTACCAATTTGGCTAGTAGACAGCTCTCACCACACCATGATTTTAAGATCCTAGGAACGGCGTTTCATTGGCATAGGTCGTTAGCAAAAGTTACAAGTCAAATTAAAATAAACAGACTGTCGTAAGGAATAGTATTGGCAGTGTGAAGTAAGTTAGAAAATGAAGGTGGTGATGAACGGAAGATTGGTGTCACCTTACCGCTGACTATAAACCACTGTAGGGTGAGTCAGGATGTACAGATTTCTCTAACTCCTTCTGTCCAGGATAGGAAGGCATCATAGCTGGTTCGAGAGAAATACCTTACTGCTGTTACATCCCTATCCACTCGCAGAATGCTCATACCCCTACCATGAATTAAGAAACCCTATAATAATTGGATCAGTATTATATGCAAGCCCGACCACCATGTAAAAATACTGTTTAGTTTTTTAAAGTGATTTCAAGATAATTAGATAAATTTTAAAAAGTTCAGTATTTATCAAGTCGTTTTACTGTGTTTTCCCACTTCGAATAATTTTAAATGAGTATTTTATCAAACTAATTTTTTTTATTTAACAGTTTAACAGTCTGTTGGATAATTCTTCAAAGGCGGATAACTATAGAACACATTCTGTTCGTCGTAGGCCAATGGAAACTTATGTTTTAGCAATCATCGGTGGTTTACAAAGTGACGTCTCTATTAGTGTGGCGAATGTTCTTAAATTCATGTATATACCACAGGTAAACATTATTGTCTTTCTGTTATAGTATATATGAGAACTAAAAAGTCATGCAAATTAACATAATAAATTACAATATTTGGATGTAAGTGAAGAACATTTGAGGGTATTAGATGGTTGGAGGCAAACGACAGGAAGCCTTGGACCTAGGTTTTGTGCTAGTCGGCCCTCAGCAAGTCGCATCTGCAACCTCGAAGGAACAGATGTCCCTTCTGAGAACATTTATTTCACTTGTGGTTTCATTAAAAAGCAGTATAAACAAAATTACATCAATAAATGTTCATGAAAATAGAAGATCTCATATTCCTAACGGCTGATGATACAAGACATGTTGCTAATTTTTTCAAATGCATTAAAATTATTGTGTCTAAATTCTAGTCCACTCATAGAAGCATATCTTATACCATCGACCATTCCTAACTAGTAGGAGTTTTTAGTTATGTATCCTTGTGACATCACCGAAACCACTTTTTCTTCCCAAACCTACTGAAAAATAAACTATCTTCATTAAACAAGATTTAAATGTGGTACAGTAAGAAAATAAATTTTGAAATAGCGTCTTTACCCACAAACCTAACAAGGTGTTTTCACTAGATAATTGTGCGTCATCCTGTCAAGTACTCAAATAAAAATTTCAGAACTTCACCAGTGTTAGAAAGCAGTAGAAGTGGTGAAAAAAACTGTTCTTTACATCTGAGTGAGTAATTTTATTGGGATAGCTTCTTCATTATGCCTGAGATTTTAAAGTCCTTTAAATGAAGGATATAACTGTCAGCTTAAGGCGTATAGAAAGTATTCCAATGCCAAAATAGATGGTGTGAATAGCAAATAAAATTCAAACCAAATGAGCGCAAATCTTGAAGGTGAAATAGTCCCAATTGATTGTTCATTGTAAAAGTATGCTAAATTAATGTGTCACGGTGCAGTGGTGAATGATTTATTATTATTATTTATTATTGTTCCCTTGGGTTCCGAGTGGAACATAAGGCTTCAATAGCACATCTCCACTTTCTTCTATTTTCCGCCAGCCTCTTCAGCCGGGTCCACGGTTGCCCATAATCTCTTATCTCTTCCTCATGCGATCTACTCCATGTCACCCTAGGATGACTCACTCGTCACTTCCCATTTGAATTCCACTCGAGCAGTGGCCTGCGTTGAGTGCGATGTCATTGAACGGTTTCCTCAATGTATGTCCGATCCATCTCCATTTTATCCTACATAATTGTTCAGCGATCGGCTCTTGGTTGGTTTGTTCCCATCCAGAGTCTCTTGTTACTAAGTCTTTCTGGCCATATGATCTTCAGTATGGAGAGAGAGAAGGTAGCAGCTGTTAATGATAGTCTGCAACCTGTTGGAAATACTTTTCGTGACGCGTAGTGCAAGTTTCCATCCCGTATAGAAGGACTGACTTGACGATGGTGTTGGAAATCGGAATCATTTTCTTTATGTTGAGTGTAGAAGATTTCCAAACTGGTTTCAGGTTGATGAAGGCGTATCTTGCCTTTCCGATTCTGGCTGGTTGGCTGGCTTTGACATCTTCATCCCTTCCACCTGTGGTTGAAACGATGCTTCCCAGATAAGTAAAGGAAGTAACCTCCGTTAAATCTCTCCCGTTGATGGTGACTATTGCTGGTTGTTGTTTTGGTTCGTTGGTTGGTTATCTTCATCACCTCCGTCTTCTCTATGTTCACTTGCAGTCCTGTCTTCGCCGGCTGCTTCCTCGGCCATTTTGTTGGTTTGTGCCTGCAAGTCTTCGAGTTTGTGAGACATTAGACATCTGTCATCTGCGAAATCCAGATCTTTTAGAGTCTTCTTATCAGTCGTCCAGCGTATTCCTGTCTCCTCACTCCCCACAGTCTGACGCATAATCCAGTTCACCACAATTAGGAATATCATCGGTGATAATAGGCAGCCTTGTCTTGATCCTATATTCACCTGACAACATATGCCACTGTCATATAGCTGTTGAATGAGGTTGATAAAGACTTGAGGTACACCGTAGTGTTGAAGTACTTTCCAAATCACTTCTCCGTCAACGCAGTTTGTCGAAGGCCTTTTCAAAGCCGATCAGGTTGAGGTAGAGTTTTGACTGCCATTCTATGCTTTGTTCGGTGATGATACGTATAGCTGCAATTTGATCGGTACATGATTTGCCTCTCCTGAATCCAGCTTGTTCCACGCTGGCGGAGTTCTGTATCCAGTGCATCTTTTATTCTCTCCAGGATGATGCGACTTAGTATTTTACTTAGCGTGGACAAGAGCATTATTCTACGCCAGTTCTTGCAGAGGTCTAGGTCGCCCTTCTTTGGCAGCTTGACAAGGTAGCCAGGCTTTCTTTCAATCGGTAGGTATCTTTCCTTCTTTACAAACCTTTCGCAGTAATGGCGTGAGTATATCCACGGAAGTCTTTGGGTCCGTTTTCAGTGCTTCGGGGTGGTAGAGTTCCGTCTGATCTTTCTGCCCACACCCAATTGGACTTCACTAGCTTGATCGCATTTAGCATTTCAACTTCCGTTGGAGAACTGGTGTCCACTGGTAGTTGTGTGCATGCTGTTGCTGGTATTTTTGGACGAGTTGCAGGTGATATTCAATTCAAGAGTCCTTTAAAGTGACCAGCCCATTGTCTTATTTGTTCTTCCTCCTTTGCAGTTAGGTTCCCTTGGTCATCTTTTATCGGTTTCATCATCTGGGTTGATCTCTTCTCGAATAGAGACCTGGTTATCTGATATAATGTCCTTAGGTCTCCTTTACCTGCGGTCTGCATGCCTGTTCTGCTTCAGTTGCCGGCCAGTATGTCATATAACCGTCTTTTGTCTTTCCTAGCACTCTTCTTCGCTTCTTTGTTCAGTGTAGTGTACATTGAACTCAGCTTCTCCTTCTGTTGTCCATCTTTGCATTGAGTCATCTCTTTCACCATCCTCCTCTCCTCGATTAGCTTCCAGGTAGGTGTCTGTTGACAGTCATTCTTTGTCTTGTCTCTTCCTTCAACCTAGAACAGTTGTACACGTTTCCTTAAATATCTCTTTCAGAGAGTTCCAATGTTCTTCCATACAGGTTTCCTCAGTGTTGCCACGTAGTGCGTCCCACTTGGCTTTGATACCTGTAGCGAAGGCATCCCTTGTAGTTTTGTCCTTCAGTTTCTGAATATTGAACTTGAATTACAGTGGCCTATCTCCATTTGTTTTCATGGATTTCAGCTTCACCTTGAAGGTTCCTTGAACTAGATGATGGTCTGAGCTCACATTTGCTCCCCTTCTCGACGTTGTATCCAGCAGAGTAGCGGCTTCTCCACTTCCTTGGACAGCGTTGAGATGGAATCTGTCTGGTATATGGTTTGTCCGTCAGGTGAAATCCATATTACGTTGCGTATATCCCCGTGTTAAATTTGTGCGTCGGTGGCACAGCGGTAGAATGCTTGCCAACCACACATGTGGTCCGGAGACCGATCCTCGGCCGACGCACTACTTTACCTCGCTAAGCCAGTAATAAAGCTGGCAAAGAGGAAAGGTTGGGCATGAGGCTAGCAACCCCATCCTGTAAAAATAAACACTGCTACAGAAACTTCAAGTCTCCAGTTTGAAGCCCTATGTTCTGCTGGGGACGTGAAGGAATGAAAAAATATCCTTATGCTTGTACACGCTGCCTCCGATCACCAATTCATTGAAGGTGCAGAAGTCTGAACATAATTCTCCATTCTCATTCATTTCTTCGAGTGAGAGCCTCTCGACCCATGATGAGTTCTCTTCCTGTATTATCTATTCCCAGTTTTGCTTGTATTCATATCGCCCATGAGGATTTTGATGTCACCATTTAGGATGTTGTCCATTACTGTTTGTAGTTGTGCGTGAAAATCCCCTCCTTCTCTTGTTCCGCGGTGTTCGTAGCATTGGATAATTGTAACCTTCCTTCTTTTGAGTTGAGTCATAATCTTGGAGGAGATTGGTTTCCACCCCCTCAGTGTGCTCGTGGTTGTCATCTGGGTGACCAGACCGGAGTAGATTACTGACTCTCCAGTTGACAATTTTGACAATCCACTTCCATTCCATCTGCTCTCGCAGATACCCAGCACTTCTATGACATATCTTCGCATCTCTTTGGCTACCTGAGCAGCCTTCCCAACCGGACTTGTACATTGTACAGACATTCCACGTCCCCATTCTTATTCTTGCTTTCATCGAGAGAAGACACATCGGCTGACTGACTGGCTTTCCGAAAACTTTCACCAGTTCGCTGTGTCATTTCGCCTCTCCGAGTCGAGCGAAGAATAAGATTTTTGTATTTTTAATACATTTTCTGTGCGTTGAAGTTTCTGTAGCAGTTTGACAGGTTTGGTGGTGTTGGGTTGCTAGCCTCACGCCCAACCCTCCCTCTTTACCCGGTCTTGGGACCGGTTAGCAAGCTAGTTATCTGAGCGAGTTTGTGGTGAATGAGAGCCATTTTTAAGTACAGCAACAAAACAGCTTTAAAAACGACACAAATAATCAGCATTGTAAAGTAACTGACATAAGAGATAAATGTTTCACAAAGAGAATAACAACACCAAAATAAAACCATAGAGAACACATGGTCAAAATATAAATTTTTAGTACCGACTTTCACTGATTTTGAAATAAACTACCTTGAAATTAAACAACTTTTTTGACAAATCGCGAAATATACCCAATAAAAAACTGTGTTTTTCCTTATGAAATCTTAACAAACCAGTAAACTAAATCACAGTCTCACACTTACTATTGAGTAGTCTCAAAATTCATCTTTAAAATTTTTCGTAGGAAGATGCAGTTTTTAAAGCCAATGGAATAGAATGTCAGGATAGATACTTTCTGAAAACATCTGTTGATGATTGCGTTATCTCTTGAATTGGAAAATTTAGGAAAAAAGTTTTCCTGGATTTTACTCAATATCCTAGGTTCCATCTTGCACTTGTTATCAGTGTTCACTACTGAGTGTACTCTAAATTTATCATGGAATAACCAACTGTCCAATATTCTTCCGTTCTTACTGATTCTGCAATTGGTTTCAATCATTTCGTTTTGATTTCTGTAGTTTTTGAATGCCTAAATTTCTCTGTATTATTTTTTCTACACATTGTATGCATTCATGAATATGTTAGCGACTACAGAATGTACGAGAGGACTGTGTGAAAGCAGTTTTATATATTCGTCTTACGAAAATTTATATTTGTTCTTATTTTGCGCTGTAATAGACCTCTTTGGATCTTGGTCATTGTTGCAATTCGATATCGTAAAATCCGTCAACAAATTTTTTTCTAGATAGATGTTGAAATATATCAGTACAAAAACTAAAACCTCATTTATCTGAGTAGTAAGATGAATCCACATCTTTGGGGAAATTTGAGTCTTATTTGAATTATTGAACTGTCTATCAGCAGATAATTCGATAGTTACGTTTAATTATTTGAATTTATCTTCTGTTAATACAAGTTGGAATAGTGTTATTTTCTTATTTATTCCTTTTGTAGATCAGTTATATGTCTTCTTCATCACAATTAGATGATGCAGACAAGTATAAATACTTTTTAAGAACAGTTCCAAGCATGACTGAAACTATAGACGTCATTATTGAACTGTTGAGGTGAGTTTGACCTGTTGAATCTATTCACTTCTTATAAAATGCATGTTGAACATAATTACTGATTGAATTAATGAGTACTTTAGTAAACATATAGGATCGATAAATCAGCTACAGTAAAATGTTAGACCACAATATGGAAAATAATCGTCTAAAGTGCATATAGGTGAAATCGATCCATCTGACAAGATATCTAAAGCAAAATCGAAATAGAGGAATCAACAAAATCATTTCAGCAGTTCTATTTTTCAAGTGTTGGTTTCCAAGGATTTGATTTCTTTCAGGTTTGATCATAAATTTACTTCAGCTGGATAATCTCCCTTTGTCCGATTGGTTACAGAGCTCACCTTGCATATTGGAGGTCCCGGGCTAGACAGCTGGAGGGTCCATGGGTGCATGCACATGAGGAGTCACTAGCTAGGACGAAACAACTTTCAGTACTCCCTGGTTTCTCAATAGTTCACTAACTGAATTCAAATTGGAAATAAAATTATCAACATATCTAGAGTATATCGATTTTGGATAGTAGTTACTTAATACAGAAAGTAGTAATCGGGTAGATGCTAAAGCAACACCAACTAAGTAAATAGAGTGACGTAACAGAACTGCCAGGATTCAGGAAAACTCAACCAAAAATGTCACTGGAGTTAACGATCAGTGTCATAAGAAGTAAAAATTGTAATAGTGAGAAAGAATTTAAAAAATAGTAAAACTAAAAGTTAAGATGAAAAAAATTTGCCTAAGAGGTTGATACAAATTAAACCCAAAAGTCTTCTTTGTACAGGTTTAAAATATGGATTACTACAGCTTCTGAGGTTTTCAGAAGTCTGATTTGTATTCCCTTGACAAGATTTTCGCACACTATGTAGAAGATTTTGGTTTGCGAGTTCTCTGAGTATCCGAAAAATGCTCTAATTATGACTATAAACACAGTCTTCTATCAAGATGTATGGGATATTTCATTTTAATTTCAAGACTGACTAGATATTCAAATATAATTTACGTTTCAGACATTCAGGATTTTATTCACCAATGATAAATATGCTGTCCTCCTACATATATAAATTGTGAAACATTTAAAATTATTAGAAAAGTGAATAAAATAAAACTTCAATCATGTTATGGGTATTAGACTTTTTAAACTGCTTTTCATGACTTTATTGATTTAGTATAATGAAAATTAATAAAAATACCTACGTAAAATAAGAATAACAGAGAACAATAATAGTAAACTTTGATCATTATGACTATTCAAGGGTACCATGATATTTGAACATTTTTTCAAACTAGAAAAAGATTAATCTAATAAACAGTGTTACAGCTATAGAATATATGAAATTATTCAGTACTGTGATGATATTCAATCACACTACAGAGATATTTTATTCACATACCCACGTTCTCGGAGGTACTTTATTTTCCGATCATCTATTTCACAATTGTCTAGGTTGACCTCTATTTAGTTATCCATTCATATACCTAATCAATTGTGACTCATAATCCTATACACCAATATTATCGCACTTTATTTCCACTAAATGTCAAACTTTAACAAACACACACACACAAACTGATTGTTATTGTCTATTATAGTGTATATATAATAATTATATTTGTTATAAAAGGTGAGTGGCTAGTACATAGGGGTCTGTATTAAACAGGAGATGATAAGACTGCAATGAGAGGTTCATAATGAAATAACGAATGTGTGAAATAAAACAGGTGGAGGCATATATTCACAAAAGAGATAATATCACTAATAATAAGTCCGGATAGTATAAATGGAAAATTCGATAGTATCTAGAGAATGTTTGCATGAAGGGCATAAATTATGACGAATAATAATAATAATTGCAGTAATAATAATAATCATTGTAATAAAAACGTAAAGGAAAAAAAGAGAGAAAAAACCAAGAGGGTTATGGGGAAGAAGCACTCTTGGTGATAAGAAGAATCATCAATTCATGTTTGGCCACGGTAGGAACAGCGTTTGGACGTGTTCTTTTTGGATACAAAGTTCCGGTTTAGTCGATCATATTGCAACAGCTTCAGCTATGTGTAGGAGACGTAAGCGTGATAACGACTTCGGAATTTGGTATATAACCCTGAAAGCTGTGTTGACATCGATGCGATGTCCAGTATCGACCAAGTGTGACGACTATATTTATTTTGACACCCCATAACTAATCTGTTATTCCACGTTAAAAATTTACCCACCACATAATTGGCCATTATTGTAACGACAGTAAATATTATATTTTATAATTGTAAGAACCTGAAGAGAAATTATTGGAACGAATATTTTCTATAGTTTGGTTTGTAAGGATTAGTTATGTTTTACGAGTTGATCACGGACTGATATCAGTTAGAGAACCATTGAAAACCAGGGAGTACTGAACAGCTGCTGTTTCATCCTAGTTTGGAAATCATCGGCAGTACGCACCCACTGGGATTCGAACCCAGGACCTTCCGGTTACAAGGCAAGCTCGTATACCATTCAGCCACTGAGACCCGATTCAATGGCTCATGAATTCTAACTTCTACCAATTCGTGATTTTAGCGTGACCCCAACTATTGTCGTTGGTGGGACATCCATCCACACACGTGACTTCTAATTGGACCTCATTGGTCACGACTTCTCACTAGAACTCCAGGAAGCTCCAACCTGAAGCAAGTCACTAGCGAGCATCAGAATAATTTTCTATAGTTTGGTTTGTAAGGATTAGTTATGTTTTACGAGTTGATCACGGACTTATATCAGTACTGCCGATGATTCCCAAACTAGGATGGAACGAATATTCTTCGTTCAGATTGACTTTTGATAAAATTATTATTATAAAATTCAGCAGTTATTCTGTAAGTTAATTTGTATTATATATGTCCAAACCAAGTTCACTTTTAACGGTTTGAAAAAATTTGGGCATTGGGTTAAAACAACTCACTCCCCCATGAAGTGACAATATCAACACGAATGTGATAAACAAGTTCACTATGTAAGCACACACTACTTTTATAATTTTACACACCGATCAAATCCAACAATGCACACTTTATTTTGTTATCTTTACCAATTGACCAACTTGACAACTAAAAATACCCCCAGACAGACGAACGATGATCAAGTTAGTAAACTTTATTTTGATATCATAACAGACGTACTATTACCTTTGTTATTTGGTTTAGTGATCTTCATTGCTATTTTTACTTTCAATATGTCCCTTTAACTTGACCTGAGTCTATTTTCTCACCCCCTAACTGTTTGTTATATATTTGCTGAGATTTTGTAAATTCTGGTTTAATAATACTTTGATGAAGCTATTAGCATTAAATAGCGAAACGTCAGTAAGAACAATATCGTTTTGTTTTTCATTCATTGGGAAATACAAAAACTTTATTATAATGAATAATAATCACTTCTGTACATAAACTTAATAATGTCTTTAGACTGTAAGCAGATGATGAAAAGCCAACGAAATAAATGATGATACCATTTTATCCTGCATTAACTGTTGTTCTTGCTGCATTCAGAAATAAATATATAAACAAATAAAATACAAATGTGTTAATTACCCTGAGAAAATTGAAGCACTCGCTTTGACTGAAACATATATTATTATTATTGTTTCCTTTAATTCCTAGAGGAACATAGGGTTTCAGCCGCACGTCTCCATTGCGTTCGGTTCTCTGCCAGCGTTTTCACCTGGCTTCACGTTTGCCCACATGCCTTCATCTTCTCTTCACACAACCTCCTACATGTCACCCTCGCACTGACTACCAAGTCGCTGTTTTCCATTCGGATTCCACTCGAGCGATGGCCTGGCATGTGGTGTCACTTGGTGGTTTTTTTCAGAGTATGGCCAATCCACCTCCATTTCTTCCCGGATATTTGTCGCACAGTCGGTTCCTTCTGGGTTGGTTCGCTCCCAGAGATTCCTCCCTGTTGCTGTCTTGTTCTAATATTAATAATGGGAATATTTAAAGATTTGACATATATCATTAGCGAAATCCAGATCCTCCAAGTTTTGTGTGGGTTCATTTTATGTCTGTCTCATTATCCAGTCTACCGACCTCAATCAGGAAAATCATTGGAGATTGTAGCCGGTCAGCCAGCCAGCCTTGTCTTACTCCCGTTTTCACTTCGAAGGATTCCGTGAGTTCCCCGTTATAGATTACTTGGCATGCAGCATTTTCTATGCTTCTGCTGGGATTCCGTCTGATCTTGCTGCTTTTCCAGTAATTAGCATCTTTATGGCCTTCAGGATTTCTGTTTTCGTCAGAGGGTTGATGTCCACTGGTAGTTCTGCTTCCGCTGTTTGCATTATTGGGCGCGTTGCAGGTGGCGTTCGATTAAGAAGTCTTTTGAAGTGTTCACCCCAGTATTCCCTTTGCTCCACCTCTTTGGTGACTCACTTCCCCTTGTCATCCTTCACTGGCTTAATTTGTGTTGATCTGTTCCCCAATAGGAACGTAGTTGTTTGGTAGAGTGTTGCGAGGTCTTCTTTGCCTGCAGCTTGTTCTACTTCACTTGCCATAGCTTCGTAATATTGTCTTTTGTCTTCCCTGGTACTTTTCTTTACTCTTTTGTTCAGTGTATTGTAGCTTGCATTCAACTCCTGCTTTTGTTGCTCTTCGATGCACTGGATAATCTTTAGTTTCACCATCCTTCTCTCTTCTTTTAGTCTCCATGTGTCTGTAGTGAATCACTGTTTGTCCTGTCTCTTCTTTCTGCCTAGAACTTCCACGCATGTTTGATTCCACACCGCTTTCCGGCTCTCCCATTACTTTTCAACTCCGGTCTCTTTCCTAGTATCGGTTTGTGCCTTCGCCTTTTTCCTTATGATTGCAGTGACTATATATATTCATTCCTGTGTGTTTCTAATAGTACACAGGACTTCAAGCCTTGAAGTCTCAGTAGAGTCGGTGTGGTGTTTACGGAGCGAGGTCGCTTGCCTCAAGTCCAAACTCCCCTCTTTACAGGGCTCACTGTCGGCTAGGTAAGGTCTAGTAGTGCACCGGCCGGGAATCGAACCCTGATCACATATGAAGTTGCTGAGCATTCTAACCCTGAATCACCACCAGATGTTATTAGACCATCTAAATAAGTTGAATAAATGTGTCAGAATTATATCGTACACCCCCATTTGTTAAAATGACTTGGAAACAGATCATACTATCAGCTGGAATACTCACTTATTTGCAAGGGAATACTCGAAGAAGCGATCAATTCATTATTAAGAGGTATGAGGAGGAGGATCTGGAGAGATTTTAAGAATTTTTTTTGCCAAAGATCGATTGCATTAAAAACTTCAAGAACTACGTGATATGAATGAGCTTGACTGAATGAGTATTTATTGTCAGACATCTTTAGATCACTTGATTACTTCGAAGAAACCAAGCAATTTATGCAGCTAATTTCTATATACTTGATTATTTACTTACTTTCAGCCTATACTCGATAATACACATCACTGTCAAATTTAATTATAAACAGAGTTGTGCCAGTAGAGTTGAATTTATTGTTCAAAATTGAATGAATTACGTACATAAGATAAGGATAAATAACACAAAGCTTAGAAATAGAAACAAGTTTGAATATTTATCTGTGTCAAGTTATATAACTTACATTAAACCGTTATAAATACTATTAGAACTTGAATCTGTGAACAGTTGGTTCATGATGATAGGATGCAATAAACAATAGCTTAAACTTTACAGTATGGTAGATGCCATAAATGTCTTACTTAAACTAAGTAAGCTGTCAAGGAACTTAGCCCTAAGTTCCTATTGTAATGAAGACGTCTTCGCTTTGAACCGATATATACTATGTATATGTTTCAACTTTAAATCCAAAACACCAGTATTCCTTGAACGAAATTATATTGTTTGGCAATTAAAGTGAGACAAAATGCAAAGTCTGCAAACAAATGTTTAGTACAAATGAAGTTATAAAGTACTTTTATTCGTGTTCTTTCCGCTTTCGTCCAACTTGCTCGCGATCGAACCATTCGCGCCTTCGAGTTGCCCACCAATGGCTGCCAGTTCCAATAAACAAACTTTCAATGTTCACGTCCATTGACATAAGCCATTATAAATTACTTAAGATAATCCCAGCGTGTTTAAGAAAATATCATAACAAGATTTTTCTGAACATTTCGCTGTGTAAGCCACAGCTTCTTCAGTAGAATGATTCAGATTCTAGGATTATTTTAAATAATTTATAATGATCCAATATGACTCGGTGTTCAAATTATTCCAGGAATTTTGTAACATTTGCGGTATGGGAACTTATGAAATAAATACCACTTATTTTCTATAGTTTGGTTTGTAAGGATTATTTATGTTTTACGAGTTGATCACGGACTGATATCAGTTAGAGAACCATTGAAAACCAGGGAGCAGCTGTCCAGTACTCCCTGGTTTTCAATGGTTCTCTAACTGATATCAGTCCGTGATCAACTCGTAAAAAATACCACTTATAATAATGCAATTATTCAAGAGAAGTTATACGCTTTGTCAAAGTAGAATCCTTGTTCACAAATGTTTCACTTCATGATATTGTGAAGGATATTTTCATTCGGCCTCAAAGTTGATTTCGTCATAAACCGAAGCAGTGGAAACAAAAAAGTACTGTATATCTGTTTCGTGAGAGTCCGGGACACTTCAGCAATACTTAACAACTGCATCAACTAATCATAAAGCAATAACAAAATGGTATCATCCCACACTATTTGCCTTCTTTTCTTTTTTCTTCATATTAACATCTAGTATTTTCATTGTTATTATTTCATTAGGAAATATAACTGGTTCTATGTCAACGTGGTACTGGACAACTCGGAACATGGTGAATCAAATTATGGTGTTTTTATGGAGAAGCTTAGTCAATATAGTGGAACTATATGTGTTGCTAAGGATGTTAGACTGATAGCTTATCCTTTGGATGCTAAAGATATTGGTAAGAGATTGAAAAGTTTATTGGACTCTCCAGCTACAGGTGGGTAATAACTATTTTTGAGCGAATTTTTATTTCATTTACAAACTTGTGGATGATAATTGAGATAATGTAGGGTAGGTTGCTTCAGACAGACTTTATTCACCTGCCCATATTATTTCCTAAAAGTTTATTCTCCTGTATTAACGAAATGAAATTGTATTGTGCACTTGAGGGTTATGAAGAAACTAATATAAGTAAAGTGACACTGCAGCTCAAGAATCTGAATAATGAGTCATTTTGTTTGATAGTGGCCATCAGTAGGATCCGAAGTGTACTTCCCATCGTATTTGAGACGGAATTATCCTGCTTCCTGGTAAGCGCTGTACGAGTTGAGAATAGGTCCCATCGATTCAACTACCCAGAGGATCGCCTGGTATGTTATTTAACCACAGAGATTTTGTTTACTAATGAGAAGTAGATTTTCTGATTATCAGTTGTACGTATGGAATGACTGCATACACGACCCATTGGTATGTGATTATTTACCGTGTCGTAATTTAAACAGTGATGGAAAAATTAGTGAAAAATAAACTAAATTGAGTTACAGGCTTGATCACGAGTTGACGTCGGTTAGAGAATCATCGGGAAACCTGGGAGTACTGAGCAGCTTGCCCATGTGACATTGGCTGGCGGTTAATATATATAAATCACGAATAGGCAGAAGTTGGTATTCATGGGTCATTGAATTGGGTCCTAGTGGCTGAATGGTCTACGAGTTCGCCTTGTAACCGGGAGCTCCTTGGTTTGAACACTGGTGGTGGTTGCGTACTATTGAGAAATCTCAAACTAGGACGAAACGGTTAATCGGTACTCCATGGTTTTCCAATGGTTTTCTTAATGATTTCAACTCGCGATCAAACTTGTAACTATTCAAATACCCACAAACCGTCACTTGATAAAATAAGTTAGACGAACTGCTAAAGCAGATAAGATACTCAGATTTCCAGAAAAAGTAACTTTTTGAGCGGACAGCAGTTTTCAGTAAATTTTTTAGTCTCTACATTTTTAAATCTATACCAGTGAGAATACAATAGCCAGTAAAGGCAGGTCAAATTATACTGAAAAATGTATAGGGGTACAAGCATAAGACGGAACAATAGCGCGTTAGTTAACATTGTCAACTGAATGCACATTTAGTGTGGAGTTTTTAAGAATATCGGATAAAGTGTAAATATGTAGTTAACTGACATGCTAATTTGTTTTTAACCAATAAAGTGTAAGATTCAGGGGGTGAGTTGTACTTAATGGTGTGAGAGAAATCTGAATTCTACTGGAGTGTAGACAGACAGATAGGGTACGTTGAATGTAAGGTAAGATCGAGGGCTAACTCACAAATCTACATGGTAAAGGGGTTGATAATCCAATAGGAAAATAATGACAACGAATAAAATACAGATTTCCATTGACACCTAAATCTCATAGAAAATTTCCTATTGGTTAATTTTCTATTTCGGAATCGACAATGGTGACAGAGATTTCATTTCCTACCCCTCCCCTTAGTTTTGTGTACAGTCAGTTTGTTAACTCATATGAACTGTGATCAAGATTTGACCGGATAGTTACAAAATAATTGAGCGCTGAGTGAGAAGTTGACATTTATAAAATTATATTTGTACAATCTCAGCGAAATTGAAATGATTAGTTCCAACGTTTCGTTCGGAAATCTGGTCCGAACTTCTTCAGGGAAATTAATCGAACTAAAATAACAGAGGTTATATATATAAAAGGAACAACTCTTGTTTGTAAACTTTGTCCAATCATGAGTCATGCAACAGTGATCAACATGTATAATAAATAAATAAATAAAATAGTATGTTTATATATAAAAGTACAACAAAAGTAATTCAAATGAACTGTCGTCAAGATTTGACAGAATAGTTCTAAAATATTTGGTCTGAGGTCAAATTTTGATCACAGTTCATATAAAAATTTTGTTTTGTTTTGTTTACTAGACCTATTGATAGCTGTTTCTTGATTCACATGACAGGACAAACAATTTAAAACAAGAGATGTACTTTTATATATAAACATACTATTTTATTTATTTATTTATCATACATGTTGATCACTGTTCCATGACTCATGATTGGACAAAGTTTAAAAACATGAGTTGTTCCTTTTATATATATAAACCTCTGTTATGTTAATTCGATTAATTTCCCTGAAGAAGTTCGGACCAGATTGCCGAACGAAACGTTGGAATTAATCATTTCAATTTCGCTGAGATTGTACAAATATAATTTTATAAATGTCAGTTTGTTAACTGTTTTGCATTTAAGGTATGCTGCCTATGTGCAGATAAACAGTCCTACGAAGATCCATGACACCATGTATGCTGCCGATTGGATTAGATGAGTAGCTGGAGACCACTCACATAAGCCAGTAGTGTTTGGTAGCTAGATCTAAGTGATACAGGCAGTGGACAGCTGAGCTCACCAGCATGTACCAGGTTTAACTCAGCTCAGAGAGCTGAATCATTTAAAATCACCTGAAATCTGGCTAGCTCGCTGGCTACCTATTGGGACGAACTCGTCATACCATAAATCAAATTCGTAACTTGCAGATTAATTCACAATACAATTGAAACCAGGACAATATGTTTTGAGTTTCTAACATCCCATCTATATAACTTCGGTTACATTTTGTATGAATCCATTGCGATTACTCCGTACTTCTCACAATTTGAGAAGCCGTTTTGAGCTTTGTCAGTGAAGATTTTCAGAGTAGAGTGATAGTGAAAAACGTTGAGTAATTTAATGCAACTGATAAGATTCAGTCAATTCTGGAGATGCTTTATGAATTTCTGAATATTTGTTATGCATAAAATATATATCACTGGTAGTAGTGTAGGAAAAAGGATCTCCAGTTTCTGAAACAGTCACCTCTATCTTATTCATGAGTTATCGAACTTATATTTTATTTATAGTTTGTTTTGGCTTGACAAGACTTATATAGTGAAACATACTTGGTAAATATTATGTCTAAATGTTTCACATAGTTATAATTCTTGTAAATACATCAGGACCCACAAACAACCAGTTCACATTTTTCTGTGCAACATGACCTAGAAATTTCCGATTTAATTGACTGATAAAATGATTGAGTCTAGCTATTCGTAACATTCATCCAAGTTCATCTTAGTTGAGTCACTATTTTACGCCACATCAGTTTGTAGTAGACAAAGAACCTAAAGTCCAGTCTAGTTTTAGTGGCAAAGCTATTTGGAAAATGCGTTATGCTCGCGAAGTTAGTTAAGGCAGTACTTAACCAATAAACACGAGCTACTTTATGGTACAATGACGTCTATAATGTCACAATGCACGAAATCGATCTTAAAGATAGATTTTGTTACGAACTGACATCAGTTAGGGAGTCAATAAAACCAGCTGGTACTTAAAAGCCGTTTTGTCCTAGTCTGTGAATCTTCATCAGCTCACTTCTAGGACCTCACCAAAACGGTCAAACACAATGCCATCATTTTACGAGATGATAGATTGTATCTCCACAAATCCATTACTTTAATGGTTTTACTAAGCACGATTTTACTTTCTCAGAAAACAGACATATTTCTGTTTCTGAAAGCTGATAAATACAATCTTTCCTTTTTCTACTTTCAATCTTAGTGAATATTTTATTAGTAACACCAGCAACTGCAAGTTTAACTATTCATGAACTTCTTAAATGGAATCAGTCGAGTCGTGATCGGTTTCTATGGATTGGTACAAATGGTCTGATTTCAACTTACAGTGAATTACATGTTGATGATGATGATGACGATGATTTGAATCCAGCCTACATACACCATTTTACTGGATTTAAGAAGTTTATTTTAGTTATGCCACATTTAACTGAAAAAGAGAAATTAAAGGACTATTCCGTGAAGTGAGTTGCATAACACAATGGACATGTGTGATATTCTTATTCATATAAATGATGCATGAAACACCATTACTACTTCAGTGTATTTTGTGAATTGAGTTCACTGCTATAAGTTAGTAAGAGAAAGTGAGACTTGTTGACTACTTATTTCACTACACTTAAATTGAAATTAAGTTTCTGTTTTCAAAAGTTTAGAATACTAATTCCAAATGATATTGAGTTCATCATTCTAGTGGTGACGGGTTTGGTAAAAATAGTTTGATCATTCCATACGGGAGATCTGATGGTCAAAGAGAAAGGTTATGTCATAATGAATTCCGGCAATGAACCAAACAAGAACCTGTTGTCGAGCAGATATGCGAAATGGAATTGAGACACACGCTGTGGAGACCGTTGAGTGAAATCACGCGCCAAACAGTCAAATGGAAGCAGAATGGAAAACAAGGAGTTGTGGTTGGCTCCGAGGATGACATGGAGCACATGGTATGAGGAGGAAATGAAAGCTTATGGTCAAACATGGAGAGAGTTAAAAAAAGCCTTAGAGGACATAGTGGAATAGTGGTGTACTGCTGAAGCTCTATGTTCCACTCTGGATCCAAAGGAATAACAACAATAATAATATGCTAAAGGAGTGATTACTAACCGTGAAAGTTAGGGCAACAGTTAGAAGGCAGAAACATTTAGAGTAACGTCATAATGATTTAATTTGACTTGGCACTCAAATTGTTCCGGAAGTGTAGGAATGTCTATGGTGTTTGTTAGGAAGAGGCAAAACACATGCAATTATCAGGTCATTATCATCTCTCAGTCAAGTTATTATCGCGTTATTGACAAGTCATTGACAGGCAATTGTTCCTGCTTCTGATTGAACGCTTGCACAATTCCAACTCTCAACCGGATTGGTTGATTTCCAGTCTACCTTATTTTCTGCATAAATACAGTCACTTTTGTCATGATAAATGAACCCGGTTTTACCGTTGATTCTCTTCGTGTTCTGCTTTACCAGTTAAGTGGGCGCTGGTCAGTAGTTAAGCAGTGACCGTGCGACAAAGGATCCAGTATCATAACAGTCTTGATATTTGAAAAGGGTAGAAATGGTTGTGAAAATTAAAATAAGAAGCATCAATGCATTGTTAATGTATTGTTAAAATCGGTTATATAAGAACAGTTAACTTTAATTTGTTCAGCTGCAGTAGTCTAGATTTATTTCGTTTTTCAAAGAAACTTACCCCAACCTTTTTGTTTCATATTGATAAGGGTGTGGTATTTTGAAGCGGCCGGTTGATACTGGATAAGGAATCATTCCTAACCAACTGTTTGCTTACTTGGCAGATAACTGTCGTTCACCGACAGTGCTTCAGTGTACGACGACAGTACATGACTGACCACTTGAATAATATCCTCATTCTTAGAAGACAGAGAAGGCAGACTGAGAGGGCAAATATATTCTTCCAGAAAATAGACAGATGACAGAAAATTACCACTGTTTATATAGTTGTTTTATGTGGGTAAATAGTGTGGTGCATAAAACCTGAGTGCTGACTGGTTAGCAACATACGAATACCAATCCACTGGCACGACGTTTGATCTAAATTAGGGTCGAATGTTCAATGCTTGGATTACATACAAAACATTGGCTAATAATATGAGTCCAATTCATCCTGACACAATCCATTAGTTAGGTGATGAATTTAATTCTCACATTTAACTTCAATACAAGGAGATTGAATCAAACGGATATGATTAAAGGGAAGCAGTAATTAATTGGTGGATGGTGACTAGCAGTGGAATCCAGGATGCGCATTTCGTCCTATTTGGGACTCGTCAGCTGGATGTACCTGCATTTCTCAGTGAGTGGTGATGTTCCCACCGAGGCTCGAACCCAGTGCCCATGGTTTCAAACGCCAAAGCGTTATCCACTAGACCACTTGGGCCTCGAGAGCCACCTCTTGTGCAACGGGTCATATTGATTTAATTGAATTTTGGATTTTCCCGTCGATTGATTGGACCGAAGTGCTCGGTCTCAGGTTGACATGTCAGCTTCTTGAGTAGATGCTTCGCTTTGGCGTTTGAAACCACGGTCACTGGGTTCGAGCCTCAGTGGGAACATCATCACTCACTGAGAAATGCAGGCACATCCAGTTGACGAGTCCCAAATAAGACGAAATGCACATCCTGGATTCCACTGCTAGTCACCATCCACCAATTAAATACTAATTAAATGCCCAGACATCGTCGAAGCATCTGCTCAAGAAGCTGAGATGTCAACCTGAGACCGAGCACTTCGGTCCAATCAATCGACGGGAAAATCCAAAATTCAATGGAAGCAGTAATTGTTGAAACTATCTTGGACAACGTCGTGTAGTCAGACTGATGGTGGTGATGAAAGGGGAAAACAAAATGTGAATCACAACAGGAGCGGAATAGTCGCTTTCGGATCATCAGATTGAATCACTATCGGCTGAGGTACATTATACAGGTATTAATTCCGTCACAGTTTCACTGCAGTCATCTCGGGTTACTCTCAGCTGCCTTGTGATCAACTGATAAATATATATGTCCACTTACAACAACACACTGGTTGTCACTTCTAAACATACTCAATGAGAAGGAGGGGATCAAGTTGTTGATAAGACTATCTGGCAGGCTTGGTTGGATCTCACCATTATACCGAATAATCTTTGAGAATTTGGGGAGACGTGAGATTTATATATAAATCTTGGTTAATATTGTAAGGCAGCAAGCTATTACTCAAATGTTATGCCTCCACTTGTCGTTACACGTTACTAACTGGTACTTGAATCGGTGATAATACGTGACAGGTTTGATCACGTGTTGTCATTTTGACGATCATCGAAAATCTAGTTTTCCATGGTTGTGAAAGTCCTGGGTCTGATCCCTAGTGGGGACATGACCGCGTACTGCTGAATAGTCCCAAGTTAGGACAAAACAGACATCCAGTAATCGCTGGTTTCCACTGGTTCTCTAACTGACGCCAATCTATGATCAAACTTGAAACCAATCAAATGCGTACAAACTAATAAAGGTAAGAACACTATGAAGGTGTGTTTGTTGTGGCACCCGACAATCTTCATATACTTCAGAAAGTATCATTCCCTTCTAGTATGTGTTTCGACGCGATTACGCAACGTATGTTGTGTGCTAGACAGAAGTCTTTGTAGTAGTAATGCTGAAGTTAAAAGTTGTAGTTGTTATACACCAGTATTTTCTGATAAGATACACGTATCATCTGTGACAGATATTTCAATGATGTCTTAACTTTTCTCTTCCCTGTGATCAGTTACTGTTGTTTTCTTCTATTACTGACTATTTCTGTACGTAATTGTGAACTTATTGAGTGTCTTAGTGTTGTACAGCTTAAAGGGTGTCGAAAGGGAATCATACCTCTCCCTCCTATTCGAACAAATATTTCGTAAAAAATCTCCTCAATTCAGTAGTCGCGCTTCTGTCAAATTCTGATGTAATCAGATTATCTTAATATCCGAACATTCCATTCCAATATAACATCGTTCCAAGATATTTTCACAGAGTTATTTCTAGTTAAAATTAATTACTTTTATTATCGTTTTTCGTTATCCTAACAAAACAGCCTTCAAAGAACATTCAATCTAACCAGCTGGACAAATTCTTATCTACTACAATTCTGTGGTTGTTTACCAAACGACGTTGACTTATACAATTCGAGTGGTAAAGTGTGCACAATAGGTGAAGAAGAAGAGTGTTTGTCATTTCTTCACAAAGGTATGTTTGTATACAGTATGTACACAGTAGTAGGTAAGTCATTCACACCATAATATATTGATGTATGCATTGAATCCTGAATAACCTACGTCAAATATGTATCCATGATGGTTGTGTCATTTACGAGTCATCATTCAGAATGATAAGTAGCTATCAAGGAAGACATCTTAAAATGCAGTGTAATAGAATTTCGTAATCCCATCTGTATTTTAAGAGCATAACAGAGGCTTAGTCTTGTTACTCAAGTACTTTGTCTTCTTTTTCTTCTTCTTCTTCGTTGCTTTACGTTCTGAGTGGGAGGTAGGGCTTCAAATTTCAGTTTTCAGTAGGAGTGGTGTTGTTTTAACGGTGTGATGTTGGTAGCTTCACGGCCAACCTAAGCTGAGTTTACTACTGGCTTAGTGAGGTTTAGGAGGGCTTCGGCCGGGAATTGAACCCCGACCAGGTGCGTGGTTGGCAAGCGCTCTACCACTGAACCACTGACACCGCATTATTTTAAAACACTTGGATAGGTTATTTTGATTATAAACACTGAGTGAGTCCTATTGACATACTATTAAATTGACTTACAATCTACACTTCTAAGAGTCAGTGAAATATGTTGCAAGAAGCTGTGGTGTTAAATTCATCACCTGAAAATTGTACGACTTTTAATTTACTAAATGATTTAAATGGCATTTATCTGAGATTGGCTCATAATACCTTTCTGAGAGAAAATTAATTTCATTTTTACAGACAAATATTAGTGGTTCTCATTATTTGTAACTCATAAATTTGATCACTGTTATCTGTAAATAATATTTTTACTTTCAAAAGTCATTATGGTGTTCTCTTCCATTAAGATTCAATTTATTATGTCCCTCAAGTCGTCAACTCTGTGTATGCAGTTGCAAACGCACTAAGACAAATATTCATCCAATTTCCCACGTTGAAATGGCATGATAAGTCTAGTGAACAAATGAGAAAGTTACTCTTAACTCAACTACATCAATGTCAGTTTAAAGGTAGGTAATCTGCAGATAAATTTAATTCTGAAATTTAACTATCTCACCCTTATCTTCAGTCCTCATAGTTTCATTGAAGTGGAGTATGAAGTCATTCTAAATCATGCTGATTATGTTGTCATACACCTACAGTAGCAGTTTTGCTAATATTTGTCCTTCTGCATTTGTGAACGCAGTTATCATGATAGTGTGGCGTGTGCTGCTGATAAGACTTGCCAGTAGTATATAAAGAGATGTTCATAGGCATAGAAAAACATCAAATAGCAGGGAGATAGATTCGATGTCATAGGAAGCAAATGATACAGCGTTGCGGAGTGACATGGGAGACGTGAGAGGAACACGGAGAAACACGATATGAAGGCCAGGAGTAGTAGCACAACACGGAAGATCTGTGCAAATTGTGCGTTGAAAATAAGGTGTACATAATTTCGCAGTGACATTTATTCTAAGTAGTTCTTTGAAGAAAACAGAGTGGTGGTACCAAAATATATGCCAGTATTAACTACCAAACACCGGAATTAAAAGGCTCTGGGTTTGATCCGTGATAAGGGCATGGATGAGTACTGTCGAAGAGTCTGAAACTAGGAGGAAATAATTATCCAACACTCCCTGGATCCTAACTCATGTCAGTCTGTGGTGCAACTTGTAATCCATCAACTTCCTGAAAACCAACACTTGACGATTATTGCAGAAAGTTTAACTCAAGTCCGTGGAAACTGACTGACATTCTTTGAAGATGGCATTCGATTTGGTGGTCTAACACGAAACACTAAACTTAATATTGGATGTAGTGAAGATGAAGCGTTCACTGTGGTAGGGAATATTAAAATTAAGATAGACAATATGCTGAAGGTGTTTGAGAGTGATTAATCAAACACAACCAAAATTTAGTAGCAAGGGAAGTAAAAACATACGTCTAATGTGAACTATTTATAAAAATATTTTAGCTCAAATAAGCACTACACATAAAAGAAAAGATTTAATCGATGGAAATCGTTGGGATGTTTGATATTTCAAAACTAAACTGATCTATCGTTTTCATTCTATGGGTGTTTTTAACACATAACTACATAATGTCTCAGTAACGCCCACGGTAGTTCAGTAGATAACTCTTCAATATTGAGAATAATGGCCTTCGGTTTTAAGTCACAATGGGAAGATCATGACTGACTAATCCAAAAGAGGATGAAATGTACCTTCTAGATTCTACTTTTATCCATCATCAAGGTAATACCAAACTGGGAATGTAAGGCGATATCTAAGCTTTTCTTTAGGGTATCACTGTGCTAAGGAATGCTATTCAATCAGGCAAACAAAAATCAACCAGAAAGTGTAAGTAGTATAAACAAATAACTTGGTCGCCTTTGTGCTATGACTGCTTCAATTGATGTCTTATTGTTTCATATACATATTCCTGCTTTATGTATAAGTAGGCAAGATCACATTAGTAGAATAACTATCTGAGTTATTAAAAAGACTTACAAATCTAACGAATGCTATTCTGCCTACTCAGTTTGTTTGAAACTAGTTATTGGAAGGAAATATTTTGATCGTTGTGGCCTAAAATTAAACCCATTCAACATATTTATTTGATGAGTGGCTAGTACAAAGTAGTATGCGTCAAAGGGGAGATAGTAGGACTGCAATGAGAAGTTCATCATGAAACAGGTGGAGGCATATATTGAGAAAAGAGATAACATCACTAATATCAATAAGTTCTGATAGTATGAATGGAGAATTCAGTAGTACTGAGAGAATGTTTGAACTCAGGGAATAAATTATAACGAATAGTAATAATAATAATTGTAATAATAGTCAAAGCAAAAAGCGGTCCATTTCACCTATGAAGGAGAATGCAACGACTCTCTGAACTTCCTCAACGTCCTACCAAAGAGAAGAGAGGATGGTTTCGTCATATTTAGAAAGCTAGAGACTAAAGCTCAGTGTAGAGGAAGAACTCTAGGTCATCCGGGATATTTTAAGCGAGAGGGGATATTCAAAGAAGTTTATTAAAGCCAACATATGTTACAATAGTCGTAAACACGAAGTGGCAACGGTGGAGAAAAAGCCTTTAGTTTTACGTCTACAATCCAGGGGAGATACTGCTGCGAAAATTCTATCGCAAAGCTTAACTAGGGTGATAAAGAAAACTTTGTACCCTACACATCTCTTTCCATCCTTCAGTGGCAGTCCAAGTTCAACCAGCAGCTGAAAGATGTCTTATCTAACCTTAGCTCTTCTTCATGCATATGCCGTTTCAACCGTTCCTGTGGTTCAAGTTATTTAGGTTCTACGATTAGGCATTTATCAGCTTGATTCAGCAAGGGAGAAATTAAATCCATAAAAAGCTCGATTCTTTTACACTTAGTCGGTACTGGACATCACACCGAGACCAACAATGCCTCCAGGGTTATACACCAAATTCCGAAGTCGTTATCACCGAAAGTTCGCTTATATCTCCTACACACAGCTGAAGCTGTTGCAATATGATAGACTAAACCGGAACTTCGTATCCAAGATGAACACGTCCAGACGCTGTTCCTACTGTGACCAGACTTGGATTAAAGTGTCTTCTTCTCAACAAAATTGACTCTTCCCCTTATCCCTCTTGGTGTTTTTCTTTTGCCTTGCTTATTATTACAATTATTATTATTACTTTTCGTTATAATTTATTCCCTGAGTTCAAACATTCTCTCAGTACTACTGAATTCTCCATTCATACTATCAGAACTTATTGATATTAGTGGTTATCTCTTTTCTCAATATATGCCTCCACCTGTTTCATGATGAACTTCTCATTGCAGTCTTACTATCATATTTATTAGATGGCATTAGAAACTCGAATGGATACTCAACGTTTCTCCCATAATCTCAGTTGAAATTACTTTTGTAGTTTTCTAATTCCCACTATCTGTAACAGGTGACTAGTTATCTTGTGTATTTTTATTTATTGGTGATTTGTTGATAAACTGTCCTTCAATGCCTTACTTACAATGCTTTAATTCACCTTTTATTAATTAGCCAGATAGATGTTTTGTTGGCAATTTATGATAATGATTTCATAGTGCATCCCACGTACATGATTACACATGCAAAATCGATTTTGTTAATCTGCATTCGTATGGACATGCAAAGTACTGCGTGCATCCTACGATGGTGCTTGTAGTGTGCATTTAGTTGGTAAAATTAGCTTAACCTAAAATAATTGACATGTTGACTTCCTGAGAGTTGAACTGATGACAAGGCAGGCTGAATGTTGAATTGTGTAAGGCGAAATCACCATAAATTTGCCATGAAATAGGTAGGTTCAGTGGGAGAAAATGTCAACTTCAAACTGAAAATTGAAATCGGTACTGCTGTTATTCACAGAAATTGGCAAATTTAACACATTATTACAGATGTAAATGTCAGCAATATCGTAGTTCACTAAAAAAACATCACCATCTTGAGTATTCTATTCCATTCCTCTACAGTGGGTAGAGCATTCTGCCGTCGGCCATTGTATTCTCACTGTATTCACAGTGGGCCCTACACTCTTATCATGTGATTACTATCAGCTAACATCTTGGAAATGAGTTGAGTAATCATATTAAAAGAACCTCGTACCAGTCACTGTGTAAAACGGAACTCATGCATTGTTCCCAACTATTATTCGTTTTAAAGATTCAACACTATTTCTACATAAGGGAATCGCTATTTAACCACTGTCACTCTATTATTTATAGGTTTCGGAGATGAAGTGTTTTCATTTTTTGATAAGCGCAATGGTCAACCAAAGTTTACAGTGTTAACGTTCATACCGTATACGTTGAAGTGGGAAGTGTTGGCTCAATATGATGCATTAAGAAGTCCAAGTAAGCGAGATAAATAATTTATGCACTTACACACGGCATCTTCTGTTAACAATCTTTACATGATTCATTAGTGCAATGTGTGGTGTTTGGAGGTGAAATGGAAATCTGAGTCACTACGCGATTCGAACGGGTGGTCTACAAATCATTAATCTGGTGTCCTGTTGGTAGAGCTGTTGGACGCAACTGCCAACTAGGTCTAAGGATAAAACTTGGCCACGGTGACAGAGTATATTTCCGTCAGTAAATATTACTGTATAACACTGTATGGGTAAATCAAAATAAAATTTCATCCATAATACCAACTAGGTCATCATTTCATTCCAACTCTCAAGGGTAATGTCTAGGTTTCATGCTAATGAATGATAAGTCACTGCTCATCTATTATCATTCTAGCTGTCCAACTACGTCTTCTCCTGACATTCCTAATCATGATGAATTGACTGGAAGAAGAGAAGCAGGTTGTCAACTGATAGTGAGGATATCTGGGGTTATCTTGGGTTGGCAGAAATATGCTGATGTGATGGGTGATGTCTAACTGAACATACTTCAAAGTTAAAAATTATCGTATAGGTTGTATAGAATAAAGACTTTTAACCTTAAAATTCTATTGGGCAAATCTCGTAAACACAGGAATAAATACCAATAACTAAATAAGTTTGTTTTGTGCAGTCAAAAAAGAACATTTATAACTAATTTGTTGATCGAGTAACTGAGACTCATACAAGTTCGATCGATCTGCAGAAATATATGAGAATGATGTTATTATTGTTATTATCCTCCCCTGAAGTTCCAAATGGAACATAGGGCTTCTACAGCACCTCATCACTTCACTGCACTCTCTGCAGTCCCCTTTAGCCTGCTCCACGATTGACCATAAGCTCTCATTTCCTCCTCACATGATATCCTCTATATCACACTTGGAAACCTTACTCGCCGCTTCCTAGTCAAGTTGGAATCGAGGGTTTTGAGCATGATATCACTCAACAGCCTCGTCAGAGTGGGTCCGATCCATCCTCACTTCCCTCGGTATGTGTATTGGTCACTCGGTTCATGGTTGGTCGTTGATTAACCAGCCATCTGATCTTCAACTTGGAGCCAGCAAAGGGAGCTGTTGATGAGTCCACAGCCTGTTGGAAAATGTTTGCATGACAGATCTGCAAATAAAGTCCAAAATCTTTATCACCATGAGAACTATGAGTGCTTGGGATGGATTAAGAATGTTCTCAGCACGAAAACGTGTTCACACATGTAACCTACTCTATTGATTTATATTTGTTTTTTAATGGGAAAGGATTTATCAAAGTTAAAGTTCTGACTCAGTAAGACATGTCCAATGATTGAGGTGTTCTTCACAGTTACCTATCAAAGATAGTGAAAGATGAGAATGTTTGGTCTGCTTATAAAATAAATAATTCCGCTTCTAACAATTCTATGCCTCGTTTCAGATTTCCATTACATAAATGAAAATATTTCCACCTTCATACACAAAAGTATTCCAGAATCAGTGTGTTCTAAACCATGTCACACAGGACAAATAAAACGTGTTGATTGGGGTCGTTCTTGCTGCTGGACTTGTGTAAATTGTTCGGCTCAACAGATAGTCACTTCATCCGTGTTCGATCAAACAAATAATGCACATAACTTGAGAAGTATTCAACAAAGCATGTCCACAATGTGTCAGTTTTGCAATCCCGGCTACAGACCGAATAAAAATCAAACAAAGTGTCAGATGTTACCAATAAGATACATGTCGATAAATGAAAAGGCTGCACAAACGTCTGTTGGTATCTCGTCTATCGGTTTAATCCTATGTCTGGTTGTATCAGTTATATGCATAAAAAATTGGCAAACACCTATTGTCAAAGCATCAGGGAAAGAAACATCAGTCATATTATTTCTTGGTATCATACTGTCGTATATATCAGGTGAACTAATTCTCGCCTTACCACCATCAACATTTATATGCAACTTTGCAATATTCTCAGTTGGCGTCTGTATTACACTCACATATTCAGCTATTCTTGCCAGGAGTTCACGAATTAATTCAATATTTCAAGTAAGACTGTGAAGTGTTGCTCAAATCCTTCTGTTATTCATTCTCACAGTTTCGAAAAGAATCCATTAGGAGCGATGACAATAGTTTCTTAACTGAGGGTGACAGCCAAATATTACTGCGTGTTATTGTGGGTGTGGAGAGAATGAAAACAAATTACCCTGTAATCATGATAGCAGGTTGACTTAGACAGCACCTTGGAGTATTAGCTTAAGTGATTAGAAATTTATCAGCAGAGAGAAAGAGATGAAAACATCCATCCAGACATCTCTTAGTCTTTGACACTTTATATTGCTGTTAGTCATGAAGAAAGTTAGCAGTCTCGAAATAGTTCGTGTAGCACAAACAGTACTGAACAATTCCAACTGTGGACAGAACGACTGAGAGTATTCCCCCTCGAGATAAAAAAATATCTACATGATTACTTTTTAGAAGTAGAATGTGAATTAGTGTCACTCATAAATTTGTATGAAACTGTGAAAGCTTGAATCTATGCATGCCTTTCAACGAGAGACCTTTTATTACTCGCTTTGACATCAAACCAACAAGCAAGGATACATTGAACTCACTTATCCGTCAAATATTTTCATTGATATTCAAGTGTTGGTTTGTAGGGATTTGATTGGTTACAGGATTTTCATCATGAGCTGACATTAGTTAGAGAACCATTGGAAAACCTGGGAGTACTGGGCAGCTGTTTCGTCCTAGTTTGGGACTCCTCAACAGTACGCATCCACCGGGATTCGAACCCAGGACCTTCTGGTTTACAAGGCGAGTTCGTATACCATTAAGCCACTGGGATCCGATCCAATGGCCAGCCCATGAATTCTAACTTCTGCCAATTCACGACCGCTAGCCAATGTCTTCAGTGAGTATTTGTCCTCACACCCGACCTGCTGCACCCTACTGGTCACGACTTCTCACTAGAACCCCAGGTAACTACCTACCTGATCACTGATCTTCTAGTTTAACCAATAAATACAGAGATGCTGTTTTTCATCTGTCGTATTAGCAGTTATTTTTCTTATTACCATTTCACTTCACTTAAGCTTAGTGTTTCGTTACTTCAGATATTAAAATGTATAAGCAACTGTCTTTAAACAATAAATATGTCTTGATTATAATGTCAGCCTAATGTAATGTGTTGTTGCATTTGTATAACGAATTCTTTCAGTAATGTTAGTTGGATCTCGGTCAAGCAGTATTGTACTATAAGCCAAACTAAATTGATGGAGACTGAATGAGGTAGATGGAAGAGGACTCGAACCGGGGACCCAATGACTGAAAGTCAAGTGCCCAAGCCACTGCACCAAATTTCCATATTTAATAGTGTCCCCAGACACACGGACTATAATACGATTAGGTCACTGCAATTGGGCATAAATTACATGATGATTGCGATCATGTTACTCATATTATAATAATACTGAAACTATAAATTAATGTAATTGAATCATACTTTTTAAAATGATAATCAACGATCCACTTCAAATGGTTACAATGTTCACAGAGTAGAATAGAGTTCGTTTATTTTCAATAAATGCTGTGAACTAATGTTGAATTCACATCACACCTTTCAAAGAAGAATGGTGTAAGATTATTGAATATTCTGAAAGCTGGAACCTGGACTTAAGAAGTGCAGGCTAATCCTTTTATCGTCACTATCTTAAAGTCAGTCAAAAGACATGTTTATTATATTAAATAGAACAACAGTTCCACTCATATCAAATATCAACTGAAAAGGAGGAAAATATATTAAAGAAGATGTGTTGATCTATATACCCACGGATTTAAACTATCTCTCTCTCTCTCTTTCCCCAGTATATTATTGTTTCCTATCGTGATAAATGAAATAAGGTGTTATTTGGTTGTTGGTGACTTTCCGTGGAATCTAGTCACTATTAGGCAAGTAACGCTGAACTGATCTCAAGGCATCTTCGAAGTGCAGTACCATATGCTGACCTGTCAACAGAGACCCAGCATTTTGCGCCAGTGGTATCAATCAACAAGAAATGTCAGATAATTTCAAGAAATAAAGCTTTGATTTATATATCCTAGTGATTTTTGGCCATTAGTTGGTTTAATGATTTTCAAAATAGAGTAAATTTTACTTCCTTGATCATACTTCAATATCTATTGAAGTATTTGTTTTTCTGCATGAATTAATGACTAAACTTGTGTTAATTTCTTTTCAAAATCAAAACCAACAACGAAACTCAATAAGATAAATGAACTACAAATGTTGAAAGTTCAGAAGATCTCTGGTCCGAAATCACAACTCATTATAATTGGTGTGTGCTGCGTCACACAAATAATCGTTTTAAGTATAATCTGTGGTATTACACCAACTTTTCCAAGTCTAGTTCTATCTGATTATGAATTAAATTCACCTTATTCAGCAATGGATACAAGAAGCTCAATGATTATATTTAAAGATGGTAATTCCACTAGAATCATCAAGACTGATAAACAGTTAATTGTACATGGGTTATCATATAATTTAATGTTGTGTTTCCCAGATTTTACCATTAAACAAATTATTACAATATTTATACCACTGATATTAATGTGTTTGTCGACTGTATATGCATATAAAATACGCAAAGTTCCGAGTGGATTTAATGAAGCTAGAGCTTTAGCTTTTGTCAATTACATTAATTGCATTTGTTTTATTACAACACCAGTACTTATGTATTATGCTCAGAAGACTACACTGGAATTAGTACCATTGAGTTTCTTACTAATGGCTACTGCTACAAATGAATTCAGTGTATTGATTTTACCGAAGGTAATGTTTTATTGGTCAGCTAACATAATAATGGATATTGTTATTACTAATCATTTCTCTTCCAGTGAATATATTATTTCAGTGAAAAACATGAAGATCATTATCAATGGATTATCGAGTGTTGGTTTGCAGGGATTAGATTGATCCTGGCTTCGATCACGAGCTGACGTTAGTTAGGCAGGCACTGGGAAACCAGAGAGCCCTGGATAACCGTTTCGTCCTGGTGTAGGACTCCTCAACAGTATGCGGCAGTGACTACACTAAGGACCCAACCCAGATACTTCCGGTTAAGAGGCGAGCTGGTAGACCATTCAGACACGGGAACCCGATCCAATGGCCAACGATTTTTAAACTTCTGCCAATTCGCGGGGGGGGGGGGGCGTAATGCTGGAGTTCCAATCTGAGACGAAACAACTGTCCAGTATTACCTGGTTTTCCAAGATCTCTTCAGCTGATTTCAGCTCGTGATCGAACAAGGATTCAATTATTTATTTTTTAGTGATATGTTTTCCACAATTGACTGCACTCCTGATATATTCGCAAAATTATCCTTGAAATTCTTTCGCGTTGATGGTTCGAGTTTTTGTAGTTATATTGTCTAATTGGCTTGTAGCTGATACCCATGGGATTACTCTGTGCACGTGGATGAGGAATATCAAATAAATTAGGCTGTGATATCATAGCTTTGAGTCAAAGTATTTTATGATCGGCATAGACAAATATGAATTAGGTGGTTTGATGTACTCAAGCATCAACCATTAAAGTCACCGCATACCATGTTTCTTCGATGATCATTTTCACTATCGAGAAAGGGACAGTTTTAATATTGTATATTTTGTAACATGTAGCGTAATGTAGTGCATGAAGTAGCAGTCCATCAGTGACCTGTAACAGTTCACTAGGTAAGAGTGTGAAATACCAGGAAGAAATTATGGTAAACTGAGTGTCACTAGAAATGTACTTGATGAAACGGATATGGACTGTTTTTTGATTATATTTAAAACACTTGAAGTCATTAAACGCGTTCAAGTCTCATCAGTTTAAAATTAGAGCCTACTATCAAACGAAGTTTTAGAGGTTATTTGAGGGAGAACATGTGAGACAGGTTCAGCGTATTTGTAAGACCATTTCAGAGTTTTGCATTTTGTTCACTGCTTTCTAATATTATTATTATTATTATCAACACTTTTTGAAACAGAACCACTGTATTGTATGTTTACTGAAATGAACAGAATTATTGATTCGATCTCATCATAAATTCAGTTAATTCAGGAGTGAGTAGATTATACATTACGGCTTCATATTATAGTAAATAGATAACCACTTCTTGGATATCAACTAATTTACATAATTTTACCAGACAGCTTAAAGAGTCTTACTGAGTCATTGAGAGACACATAGCTATGACTAAGCTTTGTTATTAATGTTGTTATGAAAACACAAATTTGGCACATATTGGGCACTAAGAGATGTGGCACACAAAACCTTATAGTTTGTGAGAGGACTAGGACACTGTTAGAACGCCCAAATCGAAGCGATTGGTTCACCTAAGGGGCCACTCTCCGAGTCTTTGGCTTAACGTCTGGTCTACAAGGCGGTGGAGCAGCATCAGAAAGTGTGTTCCCATGGTTGCTGCTGATGAGATCGGGTTCAGGTCGGGACTGTGTTCCCATGATTGCCACTTCCTAAAACTGATTGTTTCGGATTCGTGAATCCATGCACACCACAGGTTTTCGAACCAGGGTTTTTCAGACCCCACAGGTAGACCTGCACGTCCACGAGTCCGCTTGTAGGCATCAGACGTTTGAACTCGCCATTTCATTTTTGTGAGGAACACCGCCACCGTGTGAAGACAGTGAACATGATTTGCCTAGCACAGGCTATGAAGGTCTGGCCACATGGGAGGACCCACCGTTGGCAGTAGCAGGTAATTTATGTGGGCCAAAACTGAATAAGAATGTGAACAAATTTGTTTGGTGTATTTGATCAGCCTACTATCATGTCTCGCACTGCCATCCTGTCGTCTTAATATATCTAGTATTTATACAGCAAAGCTTAGTTTGTGGAGTCAATTGAGACTTGTCGTTGTGGTCGATTTATCGCTTAAGCCAGTCTATTTATGTGAAATTAGCAAACACGAGAAATTATGCAGTGCGATGGGACATTTCACCAACTACATCTACTGTAGCTGGCGTATATCCCACTGGTATTATCATTGCATAAAATACGGTAGACTTGAGATATGATTCTTGATTTGTTATATTTTCTATGAGAAGACTGGAGATTAGAGTGCATTGAGTCGTTGATGTAAGCTAGGAAAGCTGAGCAGTGAACAAGTACGACTTTAATCAGGTTAGAGTCAAGAAACGTTATGTTTCATTCAAGCAGAATTACTTTGGTTTGTGGCGAAACCTACTGTGAAATTTTATAAGATTTGATGTGTATGAGTAAATTTCGTCTAATGTGAAAGGAAAGTGAGAATTCAAGAAGAGTTCCATTTGTCTGCTCTGTGTTAACTTCGTAGGTTTTCCAGGATAAAAAGGTAAATGTGGAATTCGAATCCCAGAAATTCTTAATCCTTTGGTTATAATTTTTCTCACAGGTTGGCTAAGTGAATGGGAATTTCTGATCAGTAGTTAAAGTAAAAGTCAGTGAAAAAACACTGACTTCAATTGTATACAACTCGTAACTATCATTTCGATTCTTATGGTAATTCACACACCTGTTTGCTATCTAAAAGGTTTACATTTGTTTTATTTATTTGAGAATGTTTTCTAAAAATAAATTCACACTTATAAAAGGTAGGCTTAACAGTAAACTCATTATTTTAGATATACATTATTCTGTTCAGACCGTATAAAAATACGAGGGCTAGTATTATGCAACGTCTTAGAGGACTAAGTGAAGTTGAATGCATGGAGTGGATCAACGGTGAGTTGTTAGGTTTTTCGATTTAAAGTGAAACATTATAACTGATAGTTATTGGTAGATTTTAACATTTTGATAAAGATATATGTGAATTAATCACCAGATAGTGAACAGTCTAGCTGTTTGGTTTAATTGTCGACTGTTGTCTATCGATGAGATATGCGATGTGGTTTTACTAAATCAAGGCTCTGTAATCGGATATCAGATGCCAGGAGTAGTCAGTGAATATAAATCTTTGGACCTGCATTTTGTGTTTGTTGACATCCACCGGAAAGGCATATCTGCATCATAAAGTCTGCTTGGAATTTAAACCCAGGGGATTCTGGGGGATAACTAACTCACCCTTATTATTTCATATATTCATGTAGGTGTTAATCAGAAATAAGATTTCCATTTATTATTTAGTAAAACTACAATATGGTGTTTAACAGTATGATATCGCTTAGCTAAGTAGTCAGATTTCACACTTGACCGATATATTTCAGTTGCTTTAATTCGAACTAAACAGCTATGTCACTTACCGTGCTGCTTTTGATTCACATAGGCGATCAAGAAACTAATAGCATAACTACTAAAATATCCGTCTTCAACATTTGGTGACTAAGATTAGAGAGAGTCAGGGGAAGAACATGCACTTTCTCGAGACTGCCGACACTTTACTGGCTAGCAGTAACAAGTAATTCTAGCTTCAAAGAACTCCCACTGGTTGCATCTCCCCAACATCTAAAAACAAAATACTGTTTCATTGTTCTAGAGAAAGACAGCATTCAGTATTTGCGATCTTTGATATGCAGGGTATTTATGCTAGATTACATCATATTGTTGAGACACTCAATTCTTTGAAGTTTTTCGAAAGTAGGTTAGCACTTTCCTTGACGTATTATAATATTTGACGGTTTCCAACACAGTTCGCATCATGGCTAAACATAGATAAGAAGATATCTGGTGTCCATGAAGCACTGAGAATTTTCAGTAGTGCTTGTGACTCATTGGGGTATTACAACCAGGAGAGTTAGGTTTCTCGTTAGGCGTGTGCATTGATCAGCTTCTGTTGAGCATGAGTCGAAAACATTTGCCTGTGTTGTATATAGCGTGAATCCTCATATTTAACATAGCGAACTGTAAATCACATGACTCCCTAGTGAAATTTCGGATTGTTTGTTCAGCTTGAAGGTCTATAGAAAACTGATTTGTTTCAGAGTAACTTCCACCATGAAGCAACGTTATTACTGCACGACGAATAATACTGAACACTTAATTCGTGTCACCGCCTGAAATCTGATAGACACGAATGTATCCATTGTTTGATACTGGTTTTGTGCAAAGGCTTTTAAGGCTTTTCTATGATAATGTTTTCCATTTCACTTCATGTCACTTACACAGCCGAAATGAACGACTGATTTTAGTAGCTGTTGAAGTACAGTAACACTCCCTTCTAGAGAAGCCATTCCATTTCAACAATTTCAGATGATATTTAAAGTGTTGATTGGAAAGCTTAATTCTCTACAAAAGGAATTAGTAGTTGTGAATAAAAGATTTAAAATTAGTGTTACTATTTACGCTGCTTGCATTAATTGCGATTCGGAAAACAGTATGCTATATCTTTATTCCCTACATCAAATTTTCATCAAACTTGCAGAGGTTGCATCTAGGAGTCCGCCTGGTGTATTTTCTATCTCTGGAGGTAAGGTTCTAAACCCTTGGTTGAAAATACGAGAATTGTCCTCAAAATCTCTTTTTGCTTCAACAAATGACCGATCAAACTGTGCGAAGAATAAATCTGAAGTGAAAACTGCTGATAATAAGATGGTTGGACTGAATCATAAGTGTTTAATTACTGAATTTTCATACGGCAATTCCATTGATACGAGTCATCGCAACTTTAACTCCTCCACAGAAAGTGCAGACAAAGATGAACAGATCACATTTCGGATGAGGCCCAAAGTAGTTTCCTTTGGTAAGTACATGATAATAATTTCTTATCAACCCTACTTTGTTCATTATATGTATCACTTCTACATTTGGATGGCGAGGGAAAGGTGTCATCGTTTAACAATGAATAGTCTGTTCCTTTATTACTGATCTTCACTAAGCTGTATTACTGTGTAACTAAATTGTGTCTAATATGAGGCTGCTATAGACTGGTCTCTTGATGATATTCCATGTAGGGAATGGTTATTCATGATCCTTTTCCTAAAGAAAGGTGACAATGCTGTTGCATCGGATACAGATGATCAGAGGAGTCGAGGTCACCACTGGAGTGCGTGGATTCGTTCAGTTCCCATAGCCAGATCATTGAAGTCACTCACATCCCGGCTAGGATCTCTGGAGGAGGTTCAACAATAGTACACATCATATAGCATTTAAACTAATTACCTCAGCACTTCTCACGGGTTTCAGTAGACCGCACATTCGGATCTGAATATGTGAAGCGTCAAACTAAACTGAATGAGTGAACATAACTCGCAAGCACTGCAATATAAAAGGATGTTGTGGGACGATATTTGCAGTTTTCCCGGTGGGAAAGTCCTAGAATTTTAATTTCATTTTCTGCTACGAATCATAGTGGTGTTGTGCGTCGGTGGCACAGTGGTTAGGACGCTCGCCGACCATGCACATGGTCCGGGGTTCGATCCCCGGCCGACGCACTCCTTCACCTCGCTAAGCGAGTAATAAAGCTGGTAAGGAGGAAAGGTTGGGAATGAGGCTAGCAACCCCATCCTGTAGAAATAAACGCTGCTACAGAAACTTCAAGCCTCCAGCTTGAAGCCCTATGTTCCACTGGGAATGTGAAGGAATAAAAAATCATAGTAGTGTTAGGTTACCGACGAGATGCTTGGTCACAGTTTCATGTTATGTAACGGATTGACATTAGTTAGAGAACCATCGGGAACCAGGGAGTAGTGGATGGCCGTTTGGGACTCTTCATAACTACGTATCCAAGACACCAAGGGGGGATTGGACCGATGAATTTAAAGTTACGAGGCGATCCCACTGGCTATTCAGTCATGGGGACAGAATTCATGAATCCTAATCTCTGCTGATCGGTTGACGATTGTCATGTATTGAATTATTTGTACAGTATGAACTTTTCCCGTTCAATTACGAAGAGATTTTACAATCATGCATTTGTCTACAGACTCGAGAATGTCGTATTTATAGTAAGCACGACTATGTTTCCAGTAGAACTCCAGTACTTTATTTCGATTCATTTGTTATTGGTTGAGAAGTAGTCCAAATTTCTCGCATCCTAATACTCACAGTTCATCACAGCTTTCTCTGCTTCGTCGTAATTAAGAGAATTCTGGTGATGTAATAATCGCAATTGAAAGCTCATTGAAGGTAGATTGTGAGAAAAATAAGAGTGAAAATGTTCAGAAATATTTACATACCATCAATTTTCTACTGCACTAATTATTGAAATTCATATGGATAATTCATGCTTCAAAAGCCTTGTCTATACACTTTATATAGCATAATGTGGAGACAGTCACTATAGCACATCTGCATTTATTCACCTTCATCCAATGGGAAGTTAGGGAAAGTGAATTCAGAGTTTTATGCCTGGCTTTGTTTTTCATTCCATTTGCATAGAAATTTCCGCTTGTTTGACAAGATGAATAATCGTAGACAAACGTTAGGATGCTTGTTGAATAGTTTCCTCTTCGATTTCACAATAACGCAAGTATAATTAAACATTTTTTAAATTTGTTTTAATACAACAGTGGAAAGATACAACAGTGAGAATCGTGATAAGAAGTCCGCCAGTTTTCATCAGGCTACAAATCAAATTAGGGCTAGTAAGACAAAAAACGACCAGTGCGATAATAATGACAGTAAACACATTGATGATAATCAGAGATGGATGAATCGAAATAATACTTCATAAACTGTACCTACTATGGAAGTGATAGCTGAGTGGAAACAATTTCCATATTTCATATTTCGAAGGTATAAAAACGTGCTTTGTACTGTGTGATTTCTGGTTATTATATGCTACGACACTTCAGCCTTTGTTCGGATCATCTTTTGTTCTACGATTTTCAATGTTTGTAATCGTTTCTATGACAAATTTAACATCAGCTGAAAAGTCTTATATCCACAACATGAAATTACACTCATTTATAATGTTCACCTGTTTTATAATGCAGAATTTCCGAATGATGAAACAGTTTTCAATTAAATTCAGACTTTCCTGTTTGGTTTATGAGTCAGAATGACACACTTTTCTTATAAAGGTCAAAATTTGTTCAAGTGATCTCAGAAGTGTACAAATTAGGCTGACGTTAGCAGGTTCGGGTCGAAAAGTAAGCTCAATCAACGTCTCATTGTAAGTCTTTAGTCAGTCAGTAACATTGCCTCCACATGTCACTTATGCATGATAAATGATAGGTTTCGTGTATGCCCTGAATGTTTCACAATTCGAATGTTGCATGCAGAAGGGTTTTGAAAATTCCACTGAAGTTGACATTACTTCCAGGGTTAGTGTAATGAAACCATTCTGAAAGAAATGCAAGCACATGCATTCTGTAGGCAGACAAGCTGTTGAGCTTGTAATATATAGTGGAAGTTGTCAACCGAATAAACATCAGTATCACTGAAAAACACTATTAGGAGTTGAAAACAATTTAGCAGAAGTCACAAATACTTGTAGTCTTGAGTTGATTGAATGAGAATATGAAATGCCTCTACTGAGTAGACCACCCACCACCACCTCCTTGTTTCATTCTCGATGTGTGCATTCAGGTTGTGTTAACTTTGAGTGAAATTCTGTGAAGTGTAGACACTTTATAAACGTTATTCGAGGTTTCATTCACTACAGTTGATTTTGTGTTGCAATTATAACTGGCCTATTTCTACATATCTGTAGATTTATTACGACTTGTGCCTACATCTTGAATGCGGCTGGACAGTTCTACACTTTAGTTTAAGAATGACTCAAGGTGTTGATAAATGATGAAGTCAGTGTAGTTCTCTAATGAAATTACAATAGTTTAGTGTTCACCAAGATTTTTAATCTTCACTTCTTTAGAAAGTATTCAGTAAATTAATTTTAGACTTGAGAAACGTGTTAAATGACCTGGGAATCAGTAAACAAGTTTTTTTCTATAAGTTTGTACTGGAGACTGGAATAACAAGTTAGTATACGCATATGCCTTGTTATATTTTTCAAACAGTTGATCTTAAGGTGGTGCAATTTAAATCCTGTTGTTCAAACTGACAACTTTAGAGCAGGGATAAGTTTTTCAATGATATGAAGAAAGAAATCTTGTCCAACACGCTGCATGGATAACAAATCATGTTTACAACTAACAACTAACTAAATGCCATTAATATTTGAAATAGTCAGTGTCACAAATGGGGAGGGGTAAGTTCAATACCTCGATGATGCATCAATTTTTCATCTGTGGTAAATTAGTAGAGGAGGTTGAAGACAATAAACTGTGAAAAATATAGGCATCAACAGAGTACAGTAATGTGTGTTATGAATACACAGTTAATCAGTCACTGTGATCAACTTTCTATTATGGTTATATAATCAAAAATTAAAGAAAGTAGATTCCAACATTTGAATAATCATGAGAAACACTTGCAGATTTACTATGATCGTAAGATTTTTAAAAAAATGATGGAGAAATGCATAAGCCATTGGTGAGAAGGGTGTAGGAAACAAGTAGAAGTCTATTTGACTATTCAGTCTATTTTCTGAGAAATCGATGTCGTACTGTCTCTTAGTCTTAAAAGATTGAGAGAAATAGGATTTAGTCTAAAAGAAAGTTCATCAGTATCTACAGACTGTGAAGATATTTGACGTTTAGATCGTCTATAACGTCGTCTTGCCAAGGTCTTTTTATTTTCTGATTGTTTACGTCTAACTGAATGGTGAACAGCGTTGAACTGCCTGAATGCATTTTTTATTCGATTTAAAGTTACTGGGTTCACTGATGAAAAGTCGAGAGTGATATCAGATTGATTGGCCTGTAATAAAACAATATTAAACAATAATTTATTGCTTGAAAGTAATTTCGGTCTTTTGTGCATATTCAAAGTTACGAAAGTGTACTAAGTAGATAACGATAAAGCAATTCAAGCATTCAGAGAAAAGAACACGTCAACGAAAACAGCGTCATGGCGACTTCACTCAATTAACTCCACAATCACTATTATAAATAATTACATTAATTACACTCCAGTTAGTATTCACTATTCCGAAGTGCCTTGATGATGTGAACAATATTCCCAATTGATTTATTTGGCTTTGTTTATCCTATGCTTGACAAAGTGCATATACTTGCACATACATAGTGATGTATAATAGTGATTGTGGAGTTAATTGAGTGAAATCCTCGAAACAGTTTGTGCTCTAAACTACTCATTTTTATTTCCATGTTTGAATGCATGTCTTTTGCGTTAATCGGCTTTTATCAGTTACATCGCCCCTTCACTGTTAGCATAAAAGCGTGAAAAGTAGTCAACACCAAATAAGCTGAATTGTGGTAACTGATATTAACTAGCACTCTGATGGTGAATCCGTTTCATGAGTAAGTTGTATAGCGCCAAGTGTTTTACACAGGTTGCGTTTTTTTAGAACTCTCCTAACTTTAGGTGCCTGGAACTGTTTGCAGTATGCAGAATGCCATATTGGGTGTTGTGACAGTGATTAATGTTATATTATTATTGTCGCCTTTAGTTCCTAGAGGAACATAGAGGTTCAGCCGCACGTCTCCACTACGTTTGGCTCTGTCCAAGCGTTTTCACCTGGCATCAGGTTTGCCCACATGCCTTCATCTTCTCTTCACACAATCTCCTACATGTCACCCTCACACTGACTACCAAGTCGCTGTTTTCCGTTCGGATTCCACTCGAGCGATGGCCTGGCGTGTGGTGTCACCTAGTGGTTTTTTCAGATCATGGCCAACCCACCTCCATTTCTTCGTGCATATTTGTTACACAATCGGTTCTCTCTGGGTTGGTTCACTTCCAGAGATCCTTGCTGATCGTCTCTGGTCGGCCATCTGATCTTGAGTATTGAGCGAAGACACCTGTTGATGAAGGTCTGTAGTTTATTTGAAGTGCTCTCCATGATGCACCAAGCTTCTGATCCATAAAGTAGCACTGACTTCACATTGGATTTGAGAATCCGGATCTTATTTTTCATGCTGAGTGCTGTTAATCTCCACACAGACTTGAGAGTGATGAAAGCTTGCCTTGCTTCCCCGAGGATCCTCACTTTGATATCCTCATCGGTTCCGCCTGTAGTTGAAACGATGCTTCCGAGGTAGGTAGGTAAAGGAGGTTGCTACTTTCAGACTCCTCTGATTTATGCTGGTTGTTGTCTCTTGTTGTTGTTGCTGTTGGCCAGTAATCTTCATCACCTCTGTCTTCTCTGTGTTCACCTGAAGTCCGATCTTCCCTGGATGCTTCTTCTGCCAACTTGTTACTTTTCACTTGCACATCTTCCAGTTTGTGAAAAATCAAATGTATATCATTGGCGAAAGCCAGATCCTCCGTGTTTTGTATGGGTCCATTTTATGCCTGTCTCCTCTTTGACCGCTGTCTGTCTCATTATCCAGTCTACCGACCTCAATCAGGAAAATCATTGGAGATTGTAGCCGGCCAGCCAACCAGCCTTGTCTTACTCCCGTCTTCACTTCGAGGGATTTCGTGAGTTTCCTGTTGTGGATTACATAGCATACAGCATTAGCATACAACTGTTGGATGAGGTGTATAATTGTTGGTGGCACCCCGTAGTAGCGAATTAGTTTCCAAATCACCTCTCGATCGACGCTGTCGAAGGCCTTTTCGAAGTCAATGAAGTTGAGATAGAGAGGTGACTGCCATTCCAAGCTTTGTTCAATGATGATCCGTAGTGTTGCGATTTGATCGATGCATGACCTGTTTCTCCTGAATCCATCCTGTTCCGGTCGAGAATTTTCATCCAAGGCTTAGTATTCAACTTGGGATAGACAGAAGCACAATGACGCACCGATTCTCGTATTGATTTAAGTCTCCTTTCTTTGGCAGTTTGAATAGGTAGCCTTTCCTTCAATCCACAGGTACATTTCCCTGTGTCATCAAGTTCACTGATGTCTCGGAGTCCATTTTCAATGTTTGTGTGGAGATTCCGTCTGATCTTGCTGCTTTTCCAGTAATTAGCATCTTTATGGCCTTCAGGAATCTCGCTTCCGTCGAAGGGTTTGTTGTCCACTGGTAGTTCTGCTTCCGCTGTTTGCATTATTGGGCGCGTTGCAGGTGGCGGTCGATTAAGAAGTCTTTTGAAGTGTTCACCCCAGTGTTCCCTTTGCTCCACCTCTTTGGTGACTCACTTCCCCTTGTCATCCTTCACTGACTTAATTTGTGTTGATCTGTTCCCCAATAGGAACGTAGTTGTTTGGTAGAGTGTTGCGAGGTCTCCTTTGCCTGCAGCTTGTTCTACTTCACTTGCCATAGCTTCGTAATATTGTCTTTTGTCTTCCCTGGTACTTTTCTTTACTCTTTTGTTCATTGTATTGTAGCTTGCATTCAACTCCTGCTTTTGTTGCTTGCCGATGCACAGTGATAATTCACCACAAACATAGCGATGAATGGCGTTAAGTAGGTAGCACATTTTGTTATTTGCTGTTCAGTAGTAGGCATGACAATTGTAGGCGACCTCTGGGATGAAAGATTTCATCCATTTAGAAGTGAGTAACTATCTTTATAAGGCCTCTACAAACAGTGACCGCCGTTCTATGCCGGTAAACACATCCACCAAATTATTTTCTAAATCAGGACTAGTATATAAAATTCGACTCATAGATGTTCCCTACGTACTGTGCCGTACAGTTAAAGAAAATTTTTAATTACTTATATCCCATTAAGTAAAAAACGAGATGTTGCAGTAGTTGGGATGACGTCTGAGTGGTGAAATCCTACTAGGCTCTTTTTGATACATATTTCGACATTAGAATAACACGCAACTTGTGCGGACTTGGATTATGAATGGACTGCAGTTTCGAACCGATCTACAAGCAGCCTTTCATTTGGTGGTAACAATGATGAAGTTATATTTGACAGCACTTACTCAATAGCCGTTTCGATCTGACCATTACATCAGACAGTTTACAAATTTCGTTGAACACAGGAACCAGGTTGCTTTTGTCATTCAACTCATTCTTAGTTAACTGGTCGAACAAATTCTCCATTTTTTTACCAGGTGAATAATAGCTCTCTACGTCGTCACCCTCATGAAACTCGGTGTTAAGTCAGAGTAATCTCCATCCTGAAGAAGTTTCCATGGCGTAGAAGCCATTAGCTGTATGTTACACTCAGTCAACGCGCCTAAGTCTTCACCTTTAACATGTACCATTTATTTGCTTCTGAGATTTTATCCAATGTATTTCAAGTGAAACTGTTTGCAGCTTACGCGATCATTGGGCAATTAATGCCTTCGAAACCCTGATCAGAGAAGAAGAATTCAGTGAGGAATTGTCCGTATAAATCTCTTTAGAAAGTGGCGTAGATTGCCAGTAGAGTGTTTTCACTGATACCATTTCAGTTGACTGTAATAAACCTACTTCTGCATCTGTTGTTGAGTATGATCAATCTCCTGAAAACGCGCATGTTTCGACAAAATTTCCTGCATGTGAAAAAATGTCAACTTCGGTGAACAGAGAGAAGTTAGAATCTCACAACTGACTGGAATAAAGCAAAACACCTAATCAACACTAATAACTTGACAAACAGATTCCTGTGTGAATTTGTCGAAAAATTAAAGAGTCTTACCATAGTATGTATGAAACCAGACTGTTCAGCTGCTAATTTCTCTTCATTAATAATATCTGAATAACAATATTTCTTCACTAGCTTTATATGAAAGAAAATGAGTACTGCCGTGAAAACCAAATACATAATCCAGTTGGATTTATTAGTGTGACAGTCACGCCTCAAATATAGCTGGTCAGTTCCTATTAGAAAAGAGGGGAATTTATATAAGTACAGAATTCAGACGCTGGTACAGAATATAATTCCATATTAGATGATTTCATTCGATATAACATGCAGTGATATAGTATTGATGAATCACTCCACAGACTTCATCCACTTATTAATACAACATCACTGTGTTATATCAGATAAACTTATCCAATATGGGAAGGTGAACTCAATGCTGACAAATTGTTAAATCGTAAAGTTCTAAGACTGTTGAAGCAGGGAAAGCCCATTGTTTGCATAGCATATTTCCAGAGTGAATTGTTCGGATTTCATTGAGAAGACAAAGTGCGAAACTGAAGCTAAATGATTAGACTGTAAGATTAAGCTGTTAACTGACTCGTCAACGTAGGACGTCGTACAGAGAGTGCATTATAACGAGGTAAAACCTCACAGAAGTCCACATAAAAGTGGAGAAAAGAGATGTAATTGAACGAAAGTGGATGTTGTAAGAGAGATAATAATTAGATGATGACTAGTGGGTATTATCGTTGCCTGGGAGATCAACTGCACCAGTGAGAATGGTCTTGAGCCACGTCGCCTACAGTTCACAAACACTGATATTCAGTATCCTGAGATCCCCATGCCTAACTGGCTCCAGCCAACAGTCATCGGCTTCATGGAGTGGAGCCGTGTCATCGGATGTAGTTTTATTTCAGTTAATATTGTTCTTGTAGGAAGGCAGTGGCTCGACATGCATGAAAGTTGTCATAGCCACCTCAGACAATGGAGTTTGCATCGTCATCCATCGACATTTCTCTCCCACTTATCTTTCTATACCTAACCTCATTACTACCAAATATATTGCTCCACCGAACATGAAGGATTCGATGGAGACACATATGGCAAGAAGCTGTCGTTTTGTATATCTCCTCCCTCCAGCAAATGTATCTCACAGCCATAAAGAAGAATAGAGTGAGCTGTTTCACGGTGCACATATTCCCTAATAGAGCGAATTTCGAAACAAAGACACAAAAAGAGAAATACTGCGCATTTTCCAAGAAGACACTGTACATGAATTTTGTCTTCAAGGGAGACATTGAGGTAGAAATCATGGAGGAAATAAAGTGCTAATTTCTTAAAGAGGACTTTATTTTCAGTCACCATCCTTCCACAACCTGAAGAACAGAGTCACATGCGTGACCACTTTTGTGCATGTATATCAGTTCATCCGCCAACGCGGAGCTGGACGTATAGATCTTTCCTTGTATGGCCTTCAGAAATGACTAGAAGAGCGCCACCTGACGTGGTTGCAGTAGGATCAACCGATGCTTCAGACTAACGCAAACAGCCTTGGATATAAGATTTACGTACCACTCACTAAGCCACTTATTTCCTTACTTCCCTTTTGCACGGATTTCAAGATATCCATTTTGCAACATTTCTTTCAAGATTTCTCTGCTTCCGATCAAAATTTCGGAAAGCTTTCCTCAAAGACGGTCATGGGCTAGAACCAAGTTGCATCAAGTTGAACTTAGTGGAAGGTGATAATGCATTAAGACTACCATATCGGACTTTAGGAGGGTTACTCACCAGTGATACGATGATAATCACACAACATGACTTAACACTGATAGGGAAAACTAGACCAGTAGATTCCAATTCACCAGCTGGAAAAAGCATGCTTTCGATAGACTCTGATGGATCTAGATCGAAGATATCTCGGGTCCCAGCTGCGAATTCCTAAAGTCACAAACTATGGTTAAACCACTGGCTTGTTTGATATTTTCAATAACATGGTGGTTGAACTCGCCTTGTCTTTCCTACTTTTATCTAACAGAGTTCTACAGATTTTGATAGTGTAGTTTTAATTTGTTCGTCTTCTTTCTCATTCACGCACTTTAATTTGTAGCAACTTGAAATTCTACACAACAGTACCACATCCTATTTTGATGATGAAATCCGAAGGTCATCGGTAGTTCAGTGAGTGCTATTTATAAAAAGACATAAATAGTATTTCTTTCAACCAATATCTTCGGACAAATAATGATAATTTGTGCATCAATGGGAAAGTTAAAAAGGAGAGATATGAGAAGGTAAGCACACGAGGAAGAATCCAGCAAGAAATAGACATGGCAGATACTATTATTTGTGAATTGTGCGATGAATTTAGGGTTTGCGATTTTTCTGATGAGTTCACCAGTCATCTTCCCCACAACAGTGAGTAGTAGAGCTTTCATCAGTTGAGAGAATAACTGATCACGAATAATAAGTTAATGTCATGACTGATCTGGGATGATGAAGATAAAAGAGCGAATAAAAAGTTATAAGGTAAAGATTTGAATATGTGAAGACTGAAGTGAAGACTTTAATTGTTGTTTCCAGCCATGTACGTAGGTGTAGATTGCATCACTAGGTTCCTCAAGACACTAAGAACCGATGGCTGTAGACGTTTGAAGACATTGCATAAATGCATTTTCGATAGTGCAGATGAGTTAACTCCTTTCGATCCCACGGATACGTGAAATCTTCACTATTCTTCATATGACTATTCTTCGTCTCACACACTATGGTTTATTGCAGTTCATTTCTTTTGCCTACCTTTATTTGTGCCTTTCTGAAACGTGGAAACCTGAAATGCTGCACTATTGGCCAAAGTCCTGCATTAAAAATTGACTCCGGTTGAAATCGAAGTGGACGAACCACTAATAATTTGGCGGTGTGTAGTAGTGAAATCTAAATTCACATTTTGGTATATTTTAGGCATGACTGAATAGACAGATATTTCAGTGTGACGTCAATCCCGAAATGTTGTACAAGAAGCTGTTGAGCAGCAAAACTTCCACTTATGCAGTGAATATTATGACTCGTTACTAACTTTTACTTGTAGCTTCTTGTTGGTTTTAATCAAAACAAAGATCGATGTCTTCCTCGACCCAACAATGAATCAGTAGTTGTAGCAATGCCGTCGGTGCGTGTAAGGCCTGAGATAGGTGAAAGAAACTCTAAACTAAGAAGAATGCTCAAGGTCGGTGAGCTATGTTCAGAAGTATTTTAAGCTGATGTGATGGAATTTTTTGGTAAATTGAGATTTTGACTGAGTTATGGAAACCGAACATGATTTCCTCTGGTTGGCACCATCAACTAGTTTCCTGATCTCCGCGAAGAGAGAAAAGGCTTCTTAATCGCTTAAGTTTTAGAGTTCATAATAACACAACGAGCAAACTCAGCCGGTTTACCACAAATCACAGGAAAACAGGCCAGCTTCGGACTCGGTTGTGGCTGTGATGACCGAGTATCTACTCCTCGTCTAGTTAGGTGCACACATCAGATGGTAGACATCCAAGGTACTCATTTTCTCCATATTTCTTCAACTTTTCGACAAATAAGCCAGTGGGAGCCTCTATTCCCACAAATCTTCTCAGAGGAGAACACGGATAAAATTGTTCTGTTCCCGGAGATGTTAAAAATATGAAGAGTTCCTTGAGCTCATAGTGAATCATCATTTTCTTGAGAGGACTGCATTAGCCGGATTGATATTAGATTTGAAAATTTCTGATTGACTGGATCAAGACACGCCACTAATTCCTAAAATAATCTGTAAATAGTGGTCAGAATGCGACCACTACGGAATATAAGACATTCATAGCATGAGGAAGTGATATCTGAAACTCCACGTAGGATTCTAAATAATCCCGCAACTAGGATTTCAGTGGAGCCTACGAACTCACTCAGAGATAACAATTTGCTGGTTTATGGATCTCAGTAACCCAACTAAATAAAGTGCTTTTACTTGCCAAACACTGTTTGATTACTTCAAGTTTGAAAGTATGGCTTAAATTAGTGGATCAGGGTGAGTTGGGTCAACAGAACATACAAATTTAGACAGATAGATTTAGAATGACGGACTTCGATAATCCGAAAAGTGCAGCCACTATAATACATGCATTTGCATACGATCCCAAAATAGGACATGACTGGATAAAAGTATTGAGAAGTAATGTATTTAGGTGTAGAGAAATGTTGATCACTGAGTTTGTGTTAACTATATTGAAAAGCAACAGATACATAGGAGGAATCATATTAAAACCTCGCGGTTGGGATGGAGTCAGTACTGTATGAAATGATTTAGGAAGCTGTATGAATAAATCGGTTTAAGTATGTGTTCGAAACGTCATCCCATTTAAGAGACGGTATCACTGTGTATTACATGAGATAAATTTACCTAATATAAAAGTAAGTAATCATTGATCATCTGCATTCAATCTGGTCATGTCTTTGATAAGAAAGACTGATTTACACTGTCCTTCTATTTCTCTCACTGATATGATTCATCTATCTCAGGTTACAAAGTAATGAATCAGTTCATTTACATTTTTGATTAAACAACTCATTCTAGGTCCATTTTAGGCACTATGGGGTGGGATACGGAGAAGCTCTCAGACCCCACATAGACATGCAGAGTGAGACTGATTGCCAAGTCTTTGTTCATTAAATCACTGCTGAGTGCTTGCAATGGGAGTTATTCAGCGCCTACTGAGGAGAATTTGGAAATTCGACTGGGATTTAATGAATATTGTGTAGCAGGAGTAAATACATTTGTTGAATTAATTACAAATACTTCAATGTGATTATGAGCACTAAATTACTCTATAAACGCTTTACTACAAATCACTGAATGTCACATCGTATAGTGAAATTAACGTGATACCATATTCTAAAACAGTATCTGAGTTCTACTCTGATATCTACTGTGAATTAAGAATGCTTGAGTGAGATCCATCAGAATGGTACTTTAGTGTATGCGGAACTGAGTTAACAGAGGAAATTTGATGTTTCTGCCCCATGAAACACAAGGTGAGTTCTTCGTTAAACTCTGTGGATGAGAAAGACGAATATCCATCCAGCAGTCTTATTATTCATTTTGATTCGAATGCCACATAATTTTTGGTCGAGCAAATGATTCAGTAAACAGAATTGTTGTGGTTACGTCTGAGCTATTCATCAGTATCGCAGAAAACAAGTCATCTATAAGAAGTTATAGTATATTTGGCAAAGATGTACTTATACCCTGTGCTTAAGCACTTATATTCTGGATTGTCAAAATATTCCTAATACAAGTGGATGGGCATTCTTCATTGAAGAATACTAGAAACTGAATGTAAATCAAGGTGAGTACTGATTGTAACTTGCAGTGCGAATGCTACGACTCCAGTGTGAATCAATCCGACTATTACATGACGCTGTGTAATCATTGGGCTGTCAGTTTACACTAATTCTACTTCTTCCCTCTTCAAGACCTTCATAATGGTCTTATAAACTGATGCCATCGACAACTGTAGTAGTAATTTACATTCTTCATGATAACAAATCACCTACTCATAGTTGTAAATGTAGCATAAATTGAACTCTGAGAAAAATAGAGTTCAGTATGACACTGTAGCATTCATTAGTGTTAACATTCCTTCTGCGAGTTTCTAAACACTATAAGCAGTTTTATTAACAGTTATGCAACTAGCATTTGACCGTAATCAACTGCAGGAAAAATTATTCGGGTGTTTATAACTTACCAGTGTATGTGTGATTGGCAGATGCATTCAAATGAAATGTTCGGTTGTTATGTAAAATGACTACAGTGCACTGAACTGTGTAATTTCCATATATTGCAAATTTGTTTCGAACGAACTTATTCCCTTCTGTATGAAATGCGAACTTATGACCGGATATCACCCTCCATTTATAAGTGATATTTTCAATTGGAAATCCATTTGGTGTACATTGGAAAGCATAGGAATTGTTATCCATTTCTCTACCTTCAATTCTCAGCTTACTTGGTGGTTCTGAAGAAGACAAACATGAACAAGAAATAGAAGTAGCAGAGTATAATGGCATACAGAAATTATACACACATACGCAGGTTTATTTTAGTGGAATTTGTATTTCACTGCGCTATAGACACTAATTTATTTCATCACCAACCTACCGAATTCATTACTACTTAAAATGAACTGAGACGACTGGTAGTGTCAGTCAAGTGACGTAAAAAGATGAATTCAACTGATTCATGTTTCGTGGACAAGGTCTTTGCTCAGACGATTTAACTCCTAAATATGTTTACCGGGAAATGTGAAAATATGGTACCATTTTATTCTGCTAAATCTGTAGTTGTTGCTTTGTTTAAATTCATTAAGGGGAACAAATGTATGAAATGTGTTTCTGTCATCCTATGGTGTTCATTAGAGAGTCTGCGAGTACAATAGGTGACGACAGTCTGAAAACTGGCACGATTTTAATGCGTGCATCATTCTCATGCACTAAGTAGACGTTAGTGCTCATAATGATTATGAGCAATAAATTGTGTTCGAAAGGTCGTCAGTAAATATTACTGTATAACACGGTGAGACTGTACCAAAGTAAAATTCTCTCCATAATGAAAGACTATAAATACCAGGGAATTGCTGGAAACATCATACTAGGACGAATCAGTGCTAAACAGACATTATTGTCGATCAAATTTATCAACTAATAAAGAATAATCTGTGTGACGAAAGAAGTCAAATACTTAGCTAATAAAAGTGATAAATACTGATGCAAATTAAGAGCGAGTCGCGACGATGGTTGTCAGAAGATACTTTCATTTCAGTCATGGAGAATACCGATAAGTTGACTTCGCATTACACCTTGCTGTGAAGACGTCTAGGAGGACAATGAAAGCTTCCTAATTAAATCACCTAGTAACCACAATCAGGCGTCCCAACGACCTGGATACGCCACAAAAAATGGTAAGCAGATAAGATAGAGGAGCTTCGATCGGTGAAATATATTTATCACAGGATTTTCAATTCATGACATTTTTAACGATGTGAATACTGAGAAAGACTGTTTGAATAGTTAATTAGCAGACTTAAAGTACTTTGGAATTTGAAGCAACAGTCAGCTGTCCGTGTTGAATTCCTGAGGCATTTTCCAGTGAAATGAAGGGACAGCGAATAGCTTGAAAATAATAGAAAAGGCAAAACTATGACAGCCTGAATTAAAGTGTAATAAATTGGTTTCACAAAAAGCACTGATCTCAGATATAACTTTCGTCAATATACTTACCATAAAACACCAGTGTCATATGACTTTGAATCATTATCATTTGAATAGTTTGATGAAAGCAAGTAACATCATAAACACCACCGACAAATTCTTCTGAGAAATCTATATGACCATCGTAATACAGCCTTGGCTTAAACCCTTCTGGATGATGTGTGATAAACATATATGGAAATTCTAAGAGGCTCATTTCTTTATCAATGATGCATTGAAGTGTTTGATTTCTTACATAGTACTTCAATTTGGGTGTGAAGGCAATGCTGCTTGAATCTGCATTTTAAAAGTATGTAAATAATAATCGTTATACTAACACCGTGATCAATATAATGACTTACTAATACATATCATTATTATTATCATCATGAATTATTACTGTATTGTGAATTTCAAGGATAACCTTTAAAATCACATTTGACTTAATTGCGAGGAATTTCATTCAAGACCACATGTGATATTAAGAAACATTAACAGAAATAATTGGATGCCTGTGCAAATCATTCGGCCATCTATGAAACTTTCCACGTTGAATAAAGCACAGGGATTATTCCCCTTCATATTGTTTTAGTAGTTCATTTACGCCGTTAGTGTGGCTGATTTCGTATTTTTGTATTCATCGAGGTAATAATATTCACAATCCTGAACTTGTATGCATGGAGTACTCCTAAGGTATTTTTATCTGCTCATTGTATTATGCGTTTAAATATGAGTTGAAGCAACCCACATAAAATATGGATATAGTGATTGCTGATAATTCCCAGTCAGTAGTCACGACTTTTCCTTATTACAATACATAGAAATTCATTAGCATTTCTGTCGTATTTCAACCTCACTGCCTATCACAAACAAGTGAGTTTTAAGAATACTGAAGACTAAAATCAAACTCCTACTCACAATTAGTTTTCATTTTGGATACCCGCATTGCTAAATAGTAGGTGGATTAAAATCATTTGACTTCTTTCACATGAGTCAATCGAAAGTGATTCAGTCTACAGGACATTGGTGACCACTAGTAGATATTCCATCAAACATCTCTCAGAGAAAATGATGGAATAGGTATATTACTATTATTATTATTATTTTAGGATTTCCTCGTACTGATTGTATTTAATATTAGGATTGCAGTGAGTTCTTAGATCCCAGTTATCTGTAGATAATTTCATGTGGGTGAGTAGTAGATAGGCAGAAAGAGCGTTTAGCTATCACCATGTCTCAATGAATAGCACACATGTTATTGAGAAATATATACCTATTGCATCCTTTTTAAAGAATATCACAGAGTAGAAGGCTAAATTAACATTAGACAGTTTCATTTATGCGGTTGTCTCCTTCTTTCATATTTCAAGTATTTCAATGATAACTAGGAGCTAACACTGATTGATTCATTCCATTCGATGTTATTTAAAAGGAAATTCCACGTCAGTATACCTAACATTGACATGCTAAGCAACAGTTTTGATTTCATCTCGGTGTTACAGTTCCTTCCCATTTTTATGTCCTCTATGAAATTAATAACTTGATAAATTCAAATGCATTCATTCAGTTAATTGACTTGTAATTAATTGTATGACAAGATAATCAATCACTTACACATTACTTGGTTAAACATATCAGTTTTTTTATATGCTAACAATCTTCCTAAGTAAATTTGTTTTAAATGGCATGTAATGTAATGCCGATTATCAATGATTTCTGGTCCAGTCCAATTTATTACATTTTTTTCAATAGCCATACTCATTCGATCACCAAGTTTTGATTCAAAGTAAAAGTGATTCAATTGATGTGGTCGGCCATCAGTTATAAAAACAGTTCTTTCCTTAAATTGTTGAATTCGATGTTCTTTTTCAGGTTTTAGCGTTGTTGCAATTTCTGTCAAACAAAAATGCATTAACTACTACGTGATGAATGAATATAACACACAAAATGATTGTAACACTTCAATCTGTGAGGTGTATTAGGTTGATTGTGGTCACACAATTTCTCCTGTTTGAGAGCCATCGGTTGGATGTGCCTGCACTCCTACTGAGCCATCATGTTCCCAGTGAAACTCAAAACCATCAGTGGTTGTATTAAACACCAATGTGCAACCCACTAGTCCACTTCAGTGCATAGGATATCAGTTATTATTTATTGCAGTTGTTATCAATAAATTGTCCATCAGAGGAGCGTACATGTCAGCAGAGATGGGACATACCATTCCGATAAAATCAATCAAGGGGAAATAGGAAATAATATTTTTCAGATAAGATATGTGAGATTTAGTTTAATTGGATGGTAGTTTTGTATAAGTTAACTATCCTGAGTTGATTAGTATGACTGCAATGGAAGATTATATTGACTTATATAACTTTTACTTAGACGTTTATTGATGCGAAAAGAAACCTTCACAGAAAGTATGAAACTATTATTTCGTCACTTTGTAACAGGAGACAACAATTCAAGTGGCAGCAATACGATCAGTCCCAAGGTTAGTTGGTTTGTCGAGTAATTCTGAGTAATCGTCGCCTAGTATCTACGTGGTCCACTGCGATGCACTGATGTCTTTGACGCTTATTTTGTCTTATCGTAGGCTGCCTAAATTTTCTTGCTAAATCAGTAATAATAATAGTGGTAGTATCTTTGAGGAAAATGATTGAGTCAATGTTGGCTAAGACCTGAGTTTACAGTATAAATAATAACATCTGTTAAACTTAAGGATGTTAGTAAATACTATGAAGAGAATTAATTAGGCATTACTAATAGAAATATTACTTATACTTGATAAACACAGTGATACTGAAAAAATTCAGGAATCCTAACAGATGAGTAATCTATACCAGTATGTATGTGCCATAAGTGCGTTGTCTGCATTGCTCGACTACAGTCCTTCCTTTCACCTACTCTGTGAGAGAGTTGTGTGATTTCTGGAATAATAATGTGTCCTTAAGAAGCTTCATTAAGATGAAATGCAGTTACCATAAGATGGTAATGTGCAAAATATATCATCCTGCTGGTTCCTATTCAGTTTTCACGCTAAGTTGAAAGTGAACTTTGTGAAGATCAACCTGAATTGTCTATCTAATTATCACCAAGCTCGTATTTAGATCCGTCAGAGTACCTGTAACCATAGAGTAAGTTCTCAAATCTATATTCATCAAACAGTAACACGTTTCAGAACACTTCTCAATCTTCCATTTACGTATCTCTGCTGAAGACGATGAACAATGAATGCCAAATCTAGCTCTTCTCATGACAACAAAAGCGCACCACATACATGGACCTAGCTTAGTGGTAACTTTGCACCTAATGTGTTATGATGCTAGATCTTTTGTCACGAGGTCGCTGCTTAACTACTGACTAGTGCCCACTTAACTGATAAAGCAGAACACACGAGAATCAGCGGTAAAAACAGGTTTATTTATTATGACAAAAGTGACTGTATTTATACAGAAAATAAGGTAGACTGGAAATCAACCAATCCGGTTGAGAGTTGGAATTGTGCAAGCGTTCAATCAGAAGCAGGAACAATTGCATGTCAACGACTTGTTAATAATGCGATAATAACTTGACTGAGACATGATAATGACCTGATAATTGCATGTGTTTTGCCTCTTCCTAACATAATGCAATTCTATTGGTACTAAAGACACACAGTTACATTAGGTACCTTATACTGACTAATCGACTCCCTGTCAATTGTGCTAAGTTTACTTCTCACTTGAACAAAGGTATCTACTGATTCATGGTAGTTTTCCTTCACGAAGTTAATATGAATCGGATACATTTTTCTTTGTTATCTTTGAAAGCATTGTGAAAGTTGACATTATACTTCATTCGTGGTCATTTTAATATGGACGATACGATGTAGATTTAAGATGTTTTATGACATTCTGTTTGCAAGAATCCTAAAATACCTAGTAAGCAATTTATGACACAATCAATTCATAGGAAAGCATCACTGAAAATTACGCACAGGATGACATCAAAATTCTGAGCAGAGATAGCACACAAACTCAGAGGACAATCTGACTGATATGTATATATATGGTTGGAGGTAATTGGCAGGAAGGCTTAGATCTGGGTTTCGTGCCAGTGGGCACTCAACAGTCAGAAAGGCTTATCCACAACCTTGAAGGAACTCAATTCCTTTCTGAGATTCAAACAAGTGCCACCCAGTGAGTCAGAGACATTACGGTCCAGCTATTCGGGCTTGCGACTGACCTCCTGTAGGATTGTATTGCATACTTTTGATTGTAAACTGGTTAGTAACTAGTGTAATGTGTCTAGTCCTTTGTTTGGTGCAGACTCAATTCTACCCATCACGTTGTCAATGTGGCCACCATTCTAGGTGATTCAGGAAACATGCTATCCTCATTTATTAGTCATAAACAGGTAACAAACCCTCGATTTATTCTCAAAATAATAGGCAGAGAAATGTGTCGTGTGACGAGCACAATTATGTCCAGGTAATCCAGAAAACAGTGGTACTTCGTAAACGAAGATGAAAATATGTTCAATTCCAGTGTAATATTTTTAGTTAGCAAAATACTTACTTATTCGGGCAACAAGTAGCAGTCTGGTTGAACAGAACAAACTTGACCGAGATCTGCAAACAAAGGCAGATAGCCTCGGGGTATGATTGAGTTTACTTTCTATGATCAGTTCGCTTTTTATCTCCTCCTGACTTGCAGTATATTTGATCGAGTAACTTTCGTTGCCAGAAATCAATGACCATTTGGGTGAGTCGAATCCAGATGCCTTGTATAGCGTACATGAAACTTGATAAGTCTTGGTAGCATCAAATATCATCATTGGACCACGAAAGCTTAAACTAATATTTGGTGAGTATTCTGTTTTGCCTACATAAAAAACAGTGTAAATCAGTGTCACTTTTAACATGATAATATTTTGGAAATTTATTTGTGAACTTTTAATCGACTTTGTATAGATGTTTACATAAACAGTTGTGATCGAGGGATGGTTGGCCTGATAGACAGATAAATACCATGAACATTGTGGAATGACAGTGGTAAGCCTATTCAAGTAATATAACTCTCAGAAGCACGAAATACGGGCAATATGCAAGGTCTGTTAAAGTACTGCAACAGAAGGTAATGTGAAGTGAATAAATGTAGAATACGCCAGAATTAAAGAAAGATCTCGTAATCCAGTTTTACCTGAGAATAATAACCACAAGAAAATTTTAGAAGGAAGCAGAATGCAGATATTGATATTTACAATTGTGTAATGGGGAGAGGGATTTGAGTTACAGATGTATTAGAACAGACGATCTCCGGATTTGAATCATCTATCAACCAAAGTTTCCTTTCTAAACATTGCCCTGGCATATCAGGTCGTTATGTTAAACTACGGCTATTTCACGTAATTCAAACAATCTATGTCAGTCGTTTATTTTAATCGAATTGAAGTAATCAGAGACATGTGAGACAACAACTACAACGACTATGCCAGAAATCTAAAGGGAATCACCCCTTTCACTTGCCTGACCTGGGAAGTATCGTTTTAATTACAGACGGCACGGGTGAGGATGTCAAATCCAGATGGGATTAGAAATGCAAGACAGACATTCAGTAATCAGAAATGAGTATGCAGATGAATAGCACTCAGTGTACAGAACAAGATTCTCATTTTCAACACTAATGTTAATCCAGTCAGTAATTCTGTTTAGTTCAGGAACTTGCCACATGCGTCACGCACAGCACTTCCAACACGCTGCAGAATTTCATTAATAACTGCCTTCGCTAGCTCCATACTAAAGATTAGATGACTGGCCTATCAGAAAGAGTGAGCACAAAGAAACTCTGGAAACGAACTAACCAAGAATCTGTTGCTCAACAAATATACCGAAGAAAATGGGGATGGATCGGAGAGATTTGAGTGACTTCACGTGCCAAACCCTCGAGTGGAACCTGAATGAGGAATTACGAGTTGCGTTTGCATCTGAGAGTGAAATGATGAAGATCGTGTTAGGAGGAGGTGAGAGCTTATGTGTAGTCACCGAGTCAGCTAAGGAAGACTGTAGACAAAAGGATGCGCTGTTGACTCACTGTGTTCCACTTGGAAGCCAAGGGAACAATAGTGATGATAGAGGACTCATGTAGTCGCCAGGATGACTTTGAAATGTTAACTGAATGCAAACTTTGAATTGGACTTCCCAGTCAATCAGTCTGTCAGTCAGTTAGTCAGATATTTATTTAATAAGGGTAGGATCAGATGAGTCAGAACATTAACAATTTTGAAAGATGTATGCATTTATTCAGCAGGAAATGTGACACAGCAAAAGTGAAACTTACTGATGATCTCAAAGTTTAGGTCCTTTCGCAGATATATGTGAGTTGCATTCAGAGTACACGAACACTGCTTTTTGCCTAAAGTGATATTTTTCCTTGTCATTAAGATATTCTTTTGAAATCTGAATTCATATTCACTCGAACAATTCTGCCAACGAACCTTATTTATCAGTTCCTTTATAGGCTGCAAGTGAGTTGGTCCTCGAATTTTACAGGGGAATGAGTGCTCTTCGTCTGATAGATATTTTTCACCATCTCTGTCAGTATGAAGTGATAATTCTGTCTTATCTGGAAGAAAATGAAACCGAAACAGGCGAGTCATTTTTAGTGAATATCTTCAAGACGTTCTTTTGAAATTTATAGTAGGAAGGTGTTACTAATATGGTTTACCAATTAGCTAATAACCAGGGTCATTTGACGTGGATGAAATAGACAGCTAGTGATCCTGTATGGTGAACTAATAGCAGTTATGAAAGGTAACTCCCTAGATTCCGAGCTACTGACAGATAGATGGACTCGTAACGTGATTGTCGTGGGCCTGATGAGCCACATGATTGTGAGTGAATACCAGTGAAGAGTCGAAGGTGAATTGAAGTAGACACTGATCTTCCCTTGTTTCTTCGGGGTTTTCTAGTTGATCACATTTGGTCATGAAATCTACTTTCGACTTGCTTGTATTTTCATGGTGGTCTGCACTGACAATCATTTAGAGAAACTTTTTAATTTTTCTGTATAGATTATATCATCGATAAGTAGTACTGATGCTCCAACTTATCGAAAATAATGCACTGTCTTACAGAAGTTATCTTGAAGTGGTAAAAGGTGTAAACAGCAAATATCTTTGATTTACGAAACATAATGAATCACATCAAAATCAAGTGAACAAATTGTGCTGATCTCGGTAAGAAAAAGCAGAATTCAATGATTTTATATATTTTGATGTGAACTCGTCAGCCAAATGCATACATGATTGCAATTTTTAGTGTTAGCCACAGTTCTGGAAGAATCTGATAAGTTTCAACAAGCGACTGAATATAGCACGTCTGAGGTTCAGCGGTAGAATACTGACAGGTCAGGCGGGAAGTCCAGGTTTGTTTCCTTACTGTGGCAGTCTTAGACCTCGCTTGGACTGTAGTAAGCCTGGAAAAGAAGGAAGCTTCAGCATCAGACTAGCAACTTTGGCACTTAGAAAACAACACCACTGCTACTGAAACTTCAAAGATTGTGTTTCCATGTTTTACTAGTTTGCACATGGTACTACTGATGTACTCAACTTCCGTTGCCTCTGGTTATGCTATCATTATCTGTTTATATTCTTTTCAGAGACTGAAAATAAGTTTATGTTTCGGCTGATACAGCGTGAAAATAACAATGATTCCTGTGCCTACGTTGAATATTTAGCCCACACAAACTTAATAGTTGTTGAAATATGGGTGGAAATATTTATTTTGCTTACAACACATTTTTTCAAATCTGCATTAATGGAAGTCACATAGGCGTCATATTTGCAGTTCGGGTATTTGTGAAATTTCAGAGGGAAGAAATGAAATGAAAAGTGGACAAGACGACAGCATCAAAGAGATTTCTAGAATGCAATCAGAAATATTTCGAACAACAGTCTACGTTTAACAAAACAGCATCATTTCAAAAGGATAAGATTAGATTAAAATGCAACCCCTGTGTATTATTTGGTAGGCATGTGGAATACACAAGTTAGTTGTTTCTCCCTCTTTCTCTCTCTCTGATCAATGCGTTCATATGCTGAACACTACCAGTGAATACGCCTAAATCATTATGTACAAAAAACGTCTTCATATTTAAAATAAGTTGTTTCTTTACTGTTTGTTAACAAAGGAAATATCAATATCATCACTTACTCAGTACTACAAAACTGATATTTCTAGTAATTTCACCATCAAATAAACTACAATTCGCTGTGTGCTTTGTAGAACTGGGAGACAATCTAAACTGATCCATTGAAATAGATCCGTTATTTCCCACAACACTATCACCTCGATAATTTATTGTGCATGTAGTATATTCTGAAGGTATTATTTTGTAGCTTGAGCTTTCTGGATCGAAATATTCAAATTGGAACTGTATGCGATCATCCGCGCCTAAAACCCATACAGATCTATTTTCTTTGAGGGTAAGGCGAAGTGAAGAGTCTTGAAGGATGAATGAAACGAAAATATTTGAATAAAAAATGCATCCACAAGTACAACTGTGGAGTACTAGGCTAAGAATAATTCATATTTAATACCAACTGATAGTAATTAGGCTAAATGCGAATTTCGATCCTTCACAAAATGTTTATGCATTATGGAAAAGGACCAGTAGTCTCACGAAGGTTAATTTTTGTTTAGTATGCCTTGTGCTTGTTGTATCATCACACCTAATGTGCATGAGAAATGTTTGATGGGATGAGAAAAACGCACCTCCAATTAACATCAGTATCCTGCTTCCTGCCAGTAAAATAAGGATGCAGCTGGTTTGCATCCGGGTAGTACACATGTGTTACGACGGGTTTGTATCCAAAAGAAGGCTAAGAACAGAGTAGAGGCGAACGGATGATCTGAGTAATCGAAGAGAACAAACTTAGAACCACATTGAAGAATGAAAAAATATTATAGGACGGGATGGGTGTAACGGAATAAATGCTTGATAAATGCCCTCTGAACGACCTAACCACAATATTTACACTCATTTGAATGTTTCAACTAACTCTGCAATTATTATCCGTTTAACGCCTAGGCTGTAAATCATTGCTCTGATGTTGCTTATCGCATGTTGACTTGATACTTATTATTTGTCTTTGTTCTTGCTTACTCCCTGATTGGAATACTTCTCTTGGCGGTTGTGTGATGGTGTTGATGATGTGATGCTCTCCTATTATGAATTTGTTTGAATGAATGCAAGATTATCATGTCGTGGGGATTTTGACCTTGGACTGTCCACATGATGTGTTTGGTGTATTTTATTCTTGCTGACGCAGTTCTCATCCCACCTTGTTGAGAATATTCTATTTTGTTCTATCCTATTTTCTTTTCTTTGGAATTTCGATAATAAGTATTCATTCCAATGGAAATACTAGAGGGAGAATCACATCACTCACGCTGTTGCGATAAAAACGACTGGTTTAGATGCAGAAATCAATCAGAATATTATTATTATTAACCTGATTTCTACCAGTGGAATGTTGAAAAACTTTAATATAACGTAAGTATTTTTCCGTGTTAGAAACGTCTGGATACATACTGCATCCAGATGATGTATTTTAGACTTTGTTAAAGGGTTTACTCTTCTCAAATCATGGTTCTCATTCACCTGAAACATCCTTTTCCTGTCTTGAGGAGGAATAAGTAGATCAAACCTCATGAAGAGAAATTACAGGTGATAAAGCCTGCTAATTCAGTAATTTCATCAGGATATATAGACTATCCGGTAAGAATACGTCCAGATGCGATATAAACTTTCGTCACGTGAGCATGTATTTATTTACCCTAGGGTTTAAGATGATACTCAACCACGATGCAGCCAATCCTATTATCAGAGAAACTGAGACATATACAACTGAAGTTCGATCACTTAATGCAGATAAATGTAGTCCCTGTAGCCCACCATTTTCTCTTGATGCGACATTGATTCTGTCGAGGAACTTTAAGTCCACTCAGTGGAAGCAGACCATTGTCACCTTAACTGCGAAACCGTTTTCTTTTCAAGTATTACAACATACGAATCAGGATAAACATTAGAAGATAAATGTGACTGAAAGTAGAACACGTTGATTTTTGAAGTAGATGCGTGCATACAAGGGAAATCAACAGACAAGAGGTGAAAGTGGAATTATGAATCATTGCGAGAGTGAGTAAGATGAGATTTCACGTCAGTATTACCATCAAGAAATACATTATTTCGTGTCAGTGAAATAGACTCTTCACTTATAGGATTTTCTATTGATAGAACAAGTTGATGTAGGTAAGTGTTCTACTATGGTTGTGTAACAATTCACAAACATGTTCACCTATTGAATATCTTCTCTATGTGTCGCCTGTCAAGTTGACATGTCATTGTCACCGGTCATTTTCGAGCTGAAATTATTTGATTCTTCTCTCATATGCTCTGCTGACTGCAAAACTAGTCAGAATTTGTTTGAAGGGTACTTTCACTTAGGACCTATCTCCACTAATGTAGACATTTAACGTGTGCCTGAAACTTACCGTACAGAAATACTTTTTTGGCATATTTCACCGCATCGCAGTAGATGATATAAAAACCAGTCTTTGGAAACGGTTTTTGTAAAACCAGTTCTCCATTGTCAAAAGTCAGCAAGTTTTCAGAATCGTGACATTCAATCGGCACTCCTTGAAATTCCTTAAATGCTTCAAACGAAGAATATGCTTCATCCACTTTTTGTTCACATATCTTGATACGTCGTTTACTAATTATAATTGAATTATATTTATAACAATTTGGAATCAACCAACTTTCCCAAATAATTAGAATACGCTGAGATACTTTAAAATATTCATCACCTACAGCATGACAATTGACATTTGGCTTTCCCACTGACAATCTACTGTACGATATATTGTTGATGAAAGATATCGTATCTTCTCCATAGTCAAGTGAACATTGTAAATCCAACTGAATCAAATGTTCATTTAAATGAGCTTGTTTAGATGTCAAGTGAACAGTAAGATTTTGATTATAATTTGACCAGTCTGGTTTTAGAACAACCAAGTTTGGAATAACTTTTAAAGATAAATCCTTTTCATCTGTGTAGAAATGTGTATGCAAAACGAAGAATATGCTTTATATTTACGTGGAATTCTTCAAGTTCCATTTTGCATAATACGTGATTTAAGACAAATTAGGATACGAAATTCATTTACACTAAGTCTACTAGGCAACAGAATAGTAAAAATAATAATGATAATTTATTTCTACAAATTAGGCTTAGATAACAGATTCTCAGGTAACTGCTATTGCTTCGGCTACTACAAGTACTATTTGAATCTCCCACACTCACAATCTCCAGTATTTGTTTGTAGTCTTTTGACTCGAAACAATGAATGGTGATTTCTGGAGAAACGGTAGTGATTTCATTATGGACAGGATGTATTCATTTTTATCATCAGAATTTTAAACATTACTATTATTTTTGATAGCATTATTAGAAGACGGAGATTATCTGAAAAATGTGATGTATTAGCGCTAATACATCACATTTTTCAGATAATCTCCGTCTTCTAATAATGCTATCAAAATTTATAAAAGGGACTAACTGTTTTAAATTACTATTATTATTATTCTCCATTAAATTACTCCTTTACACACATAATACAGTCTACTTTTGTGGCAATTTATTAACCCAATGAAATACAGGATCATGAATGAACCAGCATTTTGACAAATGCATCCCGCTCCTGTTTTATTATGTTGGACATGATTTCCGAGATGTGACAGTTGAAACAAAACACATCTGAGTGATATTTTACACTAAATTGTAAATTGGACAGTCATCAAGATGACCAATCATGCAACGACATGTCAACGAGTCGATAAATTCCACTTGAGGTCTGCCTCTGTTATTGATGAGAACTGGTCGAAGATGGAATCAATATTTCAAGCTGAGAGTGAGATTTACTGGATGTGTTGCCTCATCCAACCAGTATAAGTTGTTTTACCACTGACCTAGCTTATTTTTGTGCGCGGAAATGAAGATTTGGTCAAAATAAGATGACCCTCATAGTCATAAGTTAGTATATGTCATCTGATATTTTCACAGCCTATTGTTACAGAATGCAATGAGGGAGGATGGTTAGACTCCACATTTAACTGAGGTGTTTCGTTACATTCACTAGCGGTGTTTATGAGTCTTGGACCACTTTGTCACATGAACAGGCTCATCTGTAACAAGTGACTTGTCCCGTGAAATAAGATTATGAATCGTTCGAAAGCTTACCAGTTCAAGTTTCAACTGATAAAAATTAGATTTTGTACTGTATTGTGAACTTCATGACTGAAAGTATACTTCGATGATAATTGAGAGATTAGAATCAATTGTAAAAACGATGTACTCTCATTGGTAAACTGAAATCGCCTATAAAGAAGCTTATCTTACTCAGTCTTTATTATTATTATTTTTATTTCATGGACGATATATTGATTAGATGGTTAATTTATAATATCTCTTTTTGCTAAATTGCCTCTGTCTCCTCAACACATCTGTAAATGGAGTAACAAGCATTCGTGAGGAATCCTTTCTTCTCATAAAAGATGCTGAATACCTCCAACGCTCTTTCCACATTCAAATATGAAGTGTTTCCAGTTTAACAAAGGTATCTAAATGTTTTATAAACTATTTGATACTCATCTGTGACTTGAATGGATCAATGGTAATGTCTTCTTCTACTGCACTAGACGGCACAACATTCGTATCTCTGACTTAGCTTCATTTCTCATCAGGGTTAGTAATACGTCAAAATGACAGGTGCTGCTAGGTGTAAAATCTAAGCTGAGAATTTTCAGATTACCAAACACCATTCGGTAAATGCTTCATTCTTATACATTTCACCAGCAGTAGAAAAATGATGAAAATCAGAAATAGTCTGTTACACAAACTATTACCGATTAATGTAGAATGATTCGATGAATTCAATATGACCATGATAATTCCTTCACAAGGAATTTGTCCACACACTCTCTCTCTCGTCTTCGTAACATTGAAGCGTCTACCTCTCTCGACTGAAGACATCCAGATAGATACCTGAAAATTTCACTGGACGCAATTATAAAGTGGTTGGAGTAAACGAATACATCTATATTTTCTTAAGGTTTTTTAGTTGCGATGACAAGTAGTGAATATATTTTGGTTTTTAACAGAGAAATTCACTTCGTCAATCGGAAACATTGTGTAAAAAGTGTGTGATAAAAGTGTTGGTTTTCTGTCCTGTTTTAACTGACAGTGATCAAGAAGTTATGAATTTTCACCCTAGTCTTATTGAAAAAGAGACTGTACAGACTTCAACCTGAATTCATGAATTACAGTGATGTCAAACTGGTCATAGAAGAAGAAGAAGAGGAAGAAGAGGAAGAGGAAGAAGCAGACGATTATGCGAACAGCCAATGATTATTTTAATTAATATTTCTAAAACTGATTATTACTGTACTCGCCTGCAAAAATGAATTTTCTTTTCTTATCAATATGAATAGAAATATTATTGTATGTACAATTCATAGAAACTACGCCTGCTTTCATTCCTTGATGAATGACAAGAAATTCATTTACTATTTCAATCCTCTCATATAGTTGGTCTGAATTCCATGAAATGTACTTCGTGTGATCGTAATCCAGTTGACGATTGCCAATCATAAGATAACACGAATACAAGTATTCTCTATTTGTCAAATGAAGTATACGCTCCGGTTGGTTAATGAATAAGCTTAAGTCACTTTTTTCTTTTGTATAAAATGCAGAAGAAAATCAATATTTCACACAATTACTTATTTGTTGTAATTCGCTTTTACAAACTTACTGAGTAACTCGAAAACCAACCATTAAAGAAACAGACATATCGAGTGACAGTAAAAATGTAGTAGAACTTAAAGTTGCATATGAACCTTATGCACAAAAGTAAAAGCACTATATGTATATATGTATACTCAGTCACGAAATTGATTGAACCGAATCCTTATTGATGTCATTTGTGAATACAAGTGAAGAGGTGAAAAATGGGACAAAACAATCGTTTGGTGGCATCTAGTCCCTGGTTATCTGGTTGACGTTGGTTGATTTTCTTTTAAGACTCTTGTTTACTGAATGTACTTTTGAGTGAATTACGTTCATGTTGGTTTGTGACAAACACTGTTAGGAAGAAAGAACAGCCCTTACACTTGTGTAACTTGTTTAATATCAAGACAATTAGCAGTAGACTTATCGTCTGAATGTAATTTAAAATCGAACTGAATGCACAGATTGCAGGCCGTTTGAATATACATACATGTATCTATTCACTATACACTGAAATACACAAAAGGGATTTTCCCTAGCGAAACTAAGGAGAGAAATATGCTTATTTTCAACGTTTGTTTTACTCGGTTTCATCATTTCATTGGAAATTAGTTCACTTCTTAAAATAACTTGACCAATCTCTTCAGTGAAGATAGTGCTGAACATACCACTATGCCTGGTGATGGTGATCTGATGATGATGATAATGATGATGATTAGATGTGACAATTAGGAAAATGCCCAGCAATTCGGATCTAAAATCTCATTTCTTTTCTACACATATTTTAATTTTCATAGATAGTTGTAAGAAATTGTGATGGCTTGTGAACAAGTTGAAACAAATAAAGACTGATTAAGTGAAGGGAAATTCTTTCAATATTCCAATCATTCAATGGTTAGCACCTTTGTGAGTCATCAACTCATGTGTGATGTGTCATCCGAAAATTCTTCGATTCATTTTTCAATTAGGAACGAGTAAGCAATACTTTCACTATACATTCGCTTTCCAAGTTCCCCTAAGTTGAAATTGAACAAGACCTCTTGGTTGAGAAAATACAACAAAAGATCGTTCAGTTGATCACTAGGGCGTAACTGGTGTCATACATCTACTCCTTGGTATTGGTGCTGACTGAATTCTTTCTGTCAAATGTGTAATATGGTCAGGAGGCTAAGTGACTCGCTGTCGTGATGCTTCGGTGCCAACGAATAGGCGCTGGCGATCGATATATAGCATCCAGTTAAAATGAACTAATCGAAATACATCTTCTCACATGGCTCTGATCAGCACTCAGTGATTGCATGAAGTGACCAGGTTTATCAATGAATACCAACTGTTGCATATTACTTAAATATATTGGGTATTCAAGTTAATAACTCACTGCTTATCCACACGAATAAATGCAATAAAAATCTAAAAGGCATTCAGTCTTGTTGTACAGTTTATGGTACATTTCTGGCTGATTCGAGGTCTTTGCTCTCTCATAGCACATGTTTTTGGCAGTTTCTTCCATACCAATTGTTTGGAGAGTAATCAATAAAAGAGTTTCTTTCATACGACAATGCTACACTTCTTTGGGAAAACCCAATAAGTTTAGAATTACTAATCAACTATCACTGATACACTCACTGAAGCAACTTAAATTATAATCATATTTATGCATCTGAAGAAAAGATTGGGCAGCGGGTATATGATGTTTATTATCACCGAAAAATTTGTACTTCCTAGTGAATAAAAACCAGTATGATGTTGTTTCTACTGGCATTTCTCTGTTTAGTGTTGATGGCTTTCTCGAAGTAATTCACAAAATCTCAGACTATATTGGCTCTCTTATATCTGGAACATCCCATTTTATGCACAGAGTTCCATACTGTCTGTTTTCCTGAGTAATCGAGAAACTGACGTGAAAATTGGTGGTGAATCTCACCCAAGTCAAATCTATCTGCAAACGGTGTTATAAGTAATTCTGAAAGAAATACTCATATGACGTTTCTTTGTTATCGATAGTAAATGCATGGCTGGAGCTTTCTTATTCATATATTTTTAGAGATAGTAGCGTTATAATTTATTTCACTGAGAAATTGAAATACACACTTACTTGCAACATAAATTGTTGTATTCCTTCTAAGGTCGCCGTTGAACGCTTCACAGATAACAGTTAAGTTCACTGGTGTTACATTCAGTCGGTCTTCAATATCCAGACTCATTTTATTCCCATTAAAAACGTCTGAACCGAAATCTGGATTGTGTGTTCTACAAGTATACTTATCATCTAGAATATCCTGCCTTGTGAAAACTTTTGATGTTCCAACTTGATTATAATAACCAAAATTAAATTCAACAGAATTTCCAGGTCCAGTTAGGAAAAATTCCTGTTGTTCTACTGTATTCAGTAGGATTTCTTTGTCTATATTGAAAGACATTCAATACGTTTAGAGGTATGTGCACATGACATATGATGTTCAATAAAGTTAAGAGTAATAAAATACTTTCCAAATAAATTTCTAGTGTAGTACTAGGCACTTTCAAATCAAAGTACTCAATATAACAGTCGGTAGTCGACAAGACTATGTAGGAATGCAACTCATGATACTTTTATTGATCATTCGAAAGAATATGATCTACATATTTACACTTTGTCCAATACATTGGAAAGATACACATATTACACAAATCAGTACAAATGCCAAGAAGGTTGACAGTTGCTTTCTCTAGGATAACAATCAATTCAAACGATGTTGTAAGGTGAGTCAGAAGGTGATTAAGACCATAAATGAATAACTTTTTATTAGAAATTAGTCAGTGGTCCTCGTCAAATGGTCATAAGCTGAATCGCTTCAAATGTCAGACTGTTAATTTCACTTTCAGACACAACTGGCACTTACTTGAACTGGTTCGCTCGCATGATTCCACCATCACACTGTCCACTATCATCATGTTATCCAAGTGGTGAATTAACTCTAATTCATTCCACGTACATAGCCTATCTGTCAAATCTGATAAAATATTTGAATAGTTAGTAATGACAGTCAAAGTTGCTGTAGTCTAGATCTAGATAGCAGTTGCTTTCAATACTCAACTTGGTTCAGCATGCGTTCAGGAATTCCAGTGGTGTATAGTAATCTAGTTACAATTACAGAGCTTATGAAATACGTTAAAAGAATACGTGAAGTATAACTAGAAGTTGATTGCTTGGTGGTGACTAGCACTAACATGCATGGTGCGCGTTGCGTCACATTTTGGACTTGTCGAATGACTTGACCTATCCCTCAGTGTGCAAGGGTGTCCACAATTGGATGCGAATCCAACACTCGTCGTTTCAAATATCAGAAGATTATTATCTAGACCACTGATCCAGAGAAGTAGCCCCTAGACAAATCACTTCCATTAGGCGCGATTATATGGAATATCATTTTTACAAAGCAGCACCACCTGCTGTATCCAGTGGGTATTACAGCGTTTCAATAAACAGGCCAAAACATACTAGCATGATTTCATGGAAATTCCACAATATACGATTCACTTTTGAAATTACTACCTCCTGTAGTCCATTACATTGCACAGCCATCAGTGTCAAGTCAGCTTCCTGATAAAATTACAGCAAATGTAACACAGTTCAAGAGAATAATGCCACCGATGATTTGTATGTCACGAACAATGTCTGTGCGAAATTTCACTCAAAAAGCATACAAAAAATATAACATCCCATTAAACCAGTATAGCAACCGACTACGACTCTACAATTAGCGGGGATATGCAATAAGGTCACTCGTCTCGAAGTTCTTACAGGTGTTAAAAATGAAAGCGAATTTTAGTGATTGATTACAGCAATCAGTTATTTAATCAAGATATAACTTACCGTAAACCAAAATGGTCCTTTCGAAAGTGCCGTTCTCGCAAACAATATCATGATAACCTAATAGACTCCCTCTACTGTTTCCCCACAGTATTCTGCCATTTTCATCAAATGATAATTGTTGTTGCTTGTCAAAGCATGACATAGGAATATAGCCATCGTCATCAGATGTGTTGATCCATTTGAGTGGGGTAGTTAATTCATATCTGCAAACAGGATCGAAATAATGATCGATTTCTATCGCTGCATTTTGCATGCACGTCAAAGTGAAATCTGATCGAGCTGCAAATAAAACCAGTTTACTTCTCCAACGCATTCCACCCATATCTGAACAATTCAGACGTGCGAATCCAGGAGTCAAATGGACCATACTTATGGAATAAGCAAACATAATTATTCTAGAGGTTTGATTTTTGATACCCATGTATTGAATTTGACACTTGGCAGGATATTCACGTCCTTCGTCTGCAAACGTCCGGAACGCTGGATTTATCCATCGTAATGATGCAGTCAAACGAGAATTATTTTCCAAAACTATGACTTGCTTTCCAGGGTTTAAATGAATATCGAGGTCATCACGTCCTGAAAGAGCAGGAAGCAAATATTTTTATTAGGTCGTAGTTTGGTTATTTTGTGGTACAAAGCACCGCATGCTCAAAACAGTTGAGGCTATTGAAATTCGTTACTATTGCAATTGTTTCACAATCAGTGCTCTGTGTGCGAAAGAAACAAGTCCAGCCCCTACTACTGTCCTGGCCTTCAGTAGAGACTATAAATCCATTAATTGGTAATATTATCCTTCCTAATTTTTCTGACATTCAGCTTATTTTATGTTGGTGCTACTGAACTGTAATCTACTGATATTATTGATTCGATGTTATTTTAAACATTAATGTTTTTCATAACACTAATTCATTCATTCACTATAATGTATATATAACTGTAGAGCCTGATGATGAAGTTATTGAAAAGAGTATTCTTTGTTCAGTATCCATTCTTTTGTAAATTTTAATGGTCATTTTTAATCAATTACACGTAAGTATGTCAAAAGAAGCCTATGAAAGTGCGAATTTTAAATAGAAGATCTAATTGTAAGGCGATATTTGGTACGGAGATTCATATAACTGTTACTCTAAGAAACCAGCTTTCATTTGTTTCATGTAAAATATGAACAGATGATTTGGTTGCATGAGACCACTATGATAAGTGAGCTTGTCTCTGAGAATCCACAAAATACACTGCAACGATTTGGCTTTTGCTACCAGAATTACAAATATGAAGTTTATTTTCTGTCAACAGGTATCATAGCTGAAACAACTCGTCCACATGGCTTTGTGGTGAAATTAATTCGAAAAACAAGAAGTTCACTCAGGAAGCCGTTTTCTTTCGTTACGCATTCGCATGGAAATAGAATTGTTTTCCATAAAAGAGGAAAGCAATGAAAGAGATGAATTGTCACGATCACAGTTGCTAATAGTAATCAATACACAGAAGAAAGTGAATGAGGATGATAGGGTCGTGTGATGAAGCAAAATGGGCTGAAAAACAACTTGTATTCAGGGTGCATATAGTAAGTAATAAAGGAAATATAATATCACTTGGGGATTTGAGAGAAAAGAAGAGTTGGAGAAAGTTGAAAACAGGTTGTAAACAACAGTGCAGTTACCATGATGGGAGAAATGGTTTAAAAGTTCTCTTCTGTATGCAGAGCTCCTATTTCTCTATCTGTATTATCAGATCCTTAGCAATGTTAAAGCAAAGAAAGAGAAAGCGTATTGACCTGCATTTGACAGATTGTTATTCACTTTGTTGATCACTTTGAGGGAAGAATTAATTGAATTTTGGTGACGAGAGTTGACGGGCTGTGCAATTACTGCTTTCTGTACGGAGCTGCCGCTATCTTTCTGCCACCCTGATGAACATATTTTGATAAGAGCAGACAAACTGACAGGTTAAGTAAGTTCAGGCGCATGGTATGATTCGGTGGTTAGCTGTCTGTCAGAGTTCCTTGTTACTCATCCTCTCCTGCCAACCGACCATCTGATATTCAGTACTTAGCGCAGGTAGTTGTGGATGAAAGTTTGTAGCAGGCTTATGCAGATGCTTATGGTGGCGTGCATGAAAAGCTACTGAACCAGATAGAAGTATTTACTTGACATCAGTGTTTAAAGTCCAGGTCTCTGCATTGATATCAAAGTGATGGACACCTGTCATGCTTTTCGGAACCCGGCTTTGATGTCGTCATTTGTGTCTACTGTAGTTTAAACGATGTTACCTAGGTCAGGCAAGCAGAAGAGACAACTCGATTTAGATTTCTCTTGTCGATTGTGAATGGTGGTTGTTATTCCCAGCTGGGTATCCTCTTCACATCTGTCTTCTAAACATTCACTAGAAGTCCTGCATTGGCTACCTCCCCGTCAGATTGTTGGGTTTTGCTTGTAAATTTTCGAGTTTATGCTATACAAGACAGGAATCATCTGAGAAACCTAGATCATCTGGGGTCTTTTTGTCAGTTCAGTGTATGCCCGTCTTCACACTCCCTAAGGGCTGCCATATGACTGAGTCCAGCATAATGAGGAAGGTGGTCGGTGACATTAGGCAGTCTCGTCTTACTTCCGTCTTCACTTCAAATACTTCCTGAACATTCCGTTGTGAACAACTTCGTATGTGGCATCATCATGTATCTGTTGAATGGTATGTATCGATGCAGTGTGTACTGCTCAACAGTCCGCTCCGTCCTCCTTTATGGCTGTGAGACCTGGCCATTGAGAGCAGAAGACATGAAAAGATTAGCTGTCTTCGATCATAGGTGTCTGCGTTCTATCTTTCGCGTGAAGTGGTGTAATAAGGTGAGCAATATTGAGGTTAGGCGTCGAGTGCTAGGTAAGAAGGGGAAATCAATCGACGAAACTGTGAAATTACTTCGACTGAGATGGTTAGGACATGTGCTACGTATGCTAGCTGATATAGAGCCAGGCTGGAAAAGAGCTAGCGGCGGTCAAACGAAAACATGGCACCAGTCAATGAAATCCACAACAGTTAGTCTAAGCCACGTAGGGAGATGTAGACTTCCTGGTTGGGGTCCTCGGGACGGTAAAAACCAATGGTTGAAAACTATCGGTGACATGGCTCAAAATCGTTCTCAGTGGCGCAGATGCATCCACTCCTTGTGACATATGATTTTTAATTAAACTGTTTTGTTCTCCGTTATTACTATTCCTTTGTCTCACACCTCTGTTTAGTGTCTATATTATGCATTTCTTCCACTTTCTTCTCTTGCTTTGTGTGCTACATGGAGTGTTGCGACTTGAACTGCCGCACATATGTGCACAGTTCTATGTCGAAAACCAACCGACCGACCGATGTATCGACGTTTGCATAACTGGACTCCAAAGTGCTGAGTGACTCGCCAAATGACTGCACAGCCGATGTGATCGAAGGCCTTTTCAAAGTCAATGAATTCTAAATTTGAACACCAACTGACTCCAGTTAGAGAAGCGCTGAAAACCAGGGAGTATTCGACATGTGTTTTCTCTCAGCCTGGATATTTAATCAGCAGGCATCCATTAACCCACAGGAAACAGGATTCTAGGCTTTCAGGGTAAGAAGCCAGTCCGTTTATCATTCAGTCACTGAAACGGAACTCAATGGCTCATGAATTCTCACTTCTGCAAACTAGCGATATTTAGCGCGACCACGTTGGTGAGTGTCAATCCTCATACCTAACTTCATGGACCCCATTGGCTTTGTAGTTTGAAGGTCTTGGGTTCGATCGCCTGTGGCGTCATGGGTGCTGAATACTGACTGCCAAATCAAGATGAAACAGCTCTCCAGTACTTTCTTATTTTCAGTCGTTCTGCTGTTTTTAGAGAATTGGTGTTTACCGGTAGATATGCAGCCATTGGTGACATTTCTGTACAGCTTGTGAGTGGTGGTCGATTCAAGAGTCTTTTGAAGTGAACATCCCACTTCTTCAGCAATTGTGTTTCCTGTGTTATCTTACATTGGTTTCATCTGTGTTGACCTGGTTATCTGGTAAAGTGTTCTGAAGTCCTTCTTACCTTCGGCATGTTCTGGTTAAGTTACCAGTGTGTCTCAGAGTTGTCTTTTGTCTTTCCTAGCATTCTCCTTTACTCATCTATTCAGTGTGCTGTGGATAATACTCAGCTTCTCTTTTCATTGTTCGGCCGTGCACTAGTTCGCCTTCTCATTCACCACATATCCATCCTGTCTCAGCTTCTAGGTGGCCGTAGAAAGTCATTTCTTGTCTTTTCACTTCTACCTGCCTGGGAAGGCTACACATGATCCCTTCAACATCACCATCGGAGGGTTTCAGTTTTCTTCCTCACAGGTTCCCTCGAGGATGCTACGTAATGTCTCCGAATTCGCTCTGATGCGTGCAACTGTCATGTTTTTTTCTGTTTTTTCCTTCAGTTTCTGAACGCTGAACCTGGATTGTGATCTGTAACCAGTTTCTTCGAACGCTTTCAGTTATATCTTTAAGGTCGGTACACTAGATAATGGTGTGAGGCACATCTGCTCCTCCTCTCATTCTCGTCTCCAGAAGCTGCATCTCCACTTCCTTGATATTCGGATGAGATCTTTATTAATTTCGGTGTGTCTACCCAATCCACGTCACCCTGTGAAAGCCCGTGTGTTTGTGTACACTGCCACCAATCAAAACATTTTTGAAGGCACAGAAGTCTGCAAACAATCCTTGATCCTCATTTATTTCATTGAGAGCATGTCAAACCATCATGAGTTGTATTCCTATATTGCTAGTACTATTTTCTACACCTCCGTTATCGGAATTGTGTCATCTGTGTGTACACCTAACAAGAGCAAAACGAATGACGCAGCGCCGATACCAGAGTTGTAGAAAATATCACTACAAATAAAATCAAAGGGTAATAAATAGTGAGATAAGATTAGCAATGTTTCAAAGTTTGTGAGCGTGTTGATATGATTACGAGCAACACATTGTGTCCAAAACGTCATCAATATGTTAGTAATTATTTAGTACTGTATGTTTGCCTATCAAATAGAATTATCCTATGATGCATTTATACCTTATCATAGTGTCTGAATTCTATTCTCAATCCTCTCATGCGGCTATCCCAGTCGAATGTCATCAGCAATTTTTTGATAACCGACTTTGCCTTTATCAGTCTCACTACTGAGGAATGTTTAGATTACGGTAGGCATGACTGGAAAGTCTAAAAGAAGGAGGCGATAGCCTCATGCTGGAGGAATTTATGCTGATTGACTTTGTGAGAAGGAAAGTAACAAGACTATTCAGAAGATGAATGTGGATGTCACGCAAGGACAGGTCAACAGAGGCTTCCTGGTAAGTGCTATCGGTCTCAGACTATTCACCAGAAAATAACAGGAGAGTTAGTGAAAGCATTCAATGGGTAGCACAAACTGCACTGTTAGCAAAAATCAAAAAAATTACAACACCTCTAAATCTGGTCCGATAACTTACTAAAAAGTACAACTTTTAACTGTGTTTTAGTGTGAAACGTTTCAATCTGAAAATGACATTCAAACGAATGGATACCAGATGGGCTGTCTTTGGTGAATGAGAGAACATTTTGGTTTATGAGGAAAGTCCCATTAGAAACTTGCTGAAATACTGGCTTGTAGTTTTCAGTTTCCAAATTCTTTCCGAAGACACTTTTCACAGAACATGTGTACTTATGTTTTAGGCTAAGATCAGCGTAAATCACTCTAGGACCAGTTATGACGAGTTTAATCTTGTTCACACCTGAAATGAAGCAATCACATTAATTACTTACACGGTGTAAAAATATCAACGGTGGTAAATAACATAACACTCTTCAATCACTTCATCGACTTATGAGAGAGCTTAAAATGATTGAAATCAACCAACTCATTTCATTTCAACAGCTGGAAATTAGCTGCAGTGAAACCATTCATGACTGGACTTATTTTATTAGATAAGCTTTTGTCACAAAGTCAGTTCTACTTTCACTATGAAAGAGATTACCAAGTTGAAGAGATTTCACTTTTCTGTCTATCATTTTGCAGAAGGAAAATAATCCTAATGAGCGTCCATCTACTAATTAATATCCTTCACTCATTTCCCAGACAGTTAACATGCACTTGATTGTCGTCGTCAAAATAATTTTCTTATTATTTGGATTCTGAAAAACTGCTGTGATGCATAACAACAGCTGGTGGTGATATTTTTGAAATGTTTATGCTTATACACACTACTCATTGATACATACCGAGAAATAGAAAATGCGTTTTTCTCGTAAGAAATTCATTGAAGGCACTGCATTTTACCAAGTATGAGAAAGATATTTTCGTCGGACTTGAGGAATCAACTATCAGTTTATTACCGAAGAAATTAACTCCAATCCCCGATTTCGGTTCCAGTGAAGGTTCTAAAATTTCACATTGCATTTGTATGTCTTTCAACACTTGAAATTGTCCTTCTCCTTCACCTTCTAACGGAACTGCGAAGTTGAATTCGATTTCTCTGTCAATCTCAAATAAATAGTAAGGCTTCCGTGGATTAAGCAGGAGTATGATTGTGGATCCTATAAAAATTGAACGAAAGAAACACATTTTAGTCAATTTCATTATGTACCACAATATTGCTTTCAGTGTAGACTAGGGAACCTCCTGAAATCATCGGTTGTGCCATTTCAGATTTCACCACTACCTACGGTTCTGTTGCAAAGGCATCCTTTCTAAACATGCCAAGCGCAACGCATAGTGACTTTTCGGTCATACACCTATTATCTGCTCATATTTCCGAAAGGAAAATATGCACTGAATTTAGGGGAGGGTGTTTCATTATTTTGTTTACTGAGGTTGGTATGCTTCATGATGCGCTGTGTATATTTCTTTTGCCATTTCTTTCGTTACACGTCGCCTAATTTGTAAGTCAAAAATCGATTTCATTAGGTAGGATACAAGGGCCCAATAGTCACTTTCTTTGTCGGTTCTTTATTTTAATATTCCTATTCCAATAGACTCCTTTTTTGTGTTAATCAGTGGTCCTAAATCAGATTCCCATAGACATCGAACTACTAATTTTAGTTTCTTGTGTGAACAACACTTATGTGGATTGCTTCGGTCCCATTGGTCTTCTGCAACAGTGCTCAGACTCTGTTTATGCGTAAAGTAATACCTATCCAACTGGTATTTGTTCATCGTCCAGTGTCTTGTTCACCTTCAAAAGCATATTTTGTGTAACCAGCTACATCAGAAAGTTGGAGCATTCTGGCATAACTCAGCTTCTTCGTTTGCAATTCGTGAATGAACTTTGAACGAAAATGTGGGAGTCCAAGTTGCCATAATTAATAAGTATTCAGAAGTAGAGAGAGGAAGTTCAGAGTAACTATTTTAAATGGAAATGTACGGGAGACAGAACAGTCACATGGAGAAGAATAGAAATTAAATAGATTTGGGTAGTCAGGAAAAGTGAGTGTACTCTCTCCATCGAAAAGGATGTTGAGCAGGCGAATGACACACCAGCCTTTTGTATCCGTGCTGAGATCTCGACAAAAGTTAGTCCATCAGGGCTTATGCAAATCCCTGTAAAATGGAAGTGGTCAACGCCTTCCTAACTACTTCACTCCTTATTTCTAAACACAAATTAATTGCAGACCAATCTTGCAGCATCAACTTACTTTGAACGGGGCGAATACCCTGCTCAAGGTTTTTATTATTGTATTATTATTGTATCCTTTAATTCCTACAGGAACATAGGGCTTCAGCCGTGCGTCTCCATTGCGTTCTGTTCTCTGCTAGAGTCTTCACCTGGCTCCAAGTTTGCCCACACGTTTTCATCTCCTCTTCACATCACCTCCTCCAAGTCACCCTTGCACTGACGACCAACTCGCCGCTTCCCTTTCGGGTTCCACTCAAGGGCTTGTCTAGTGATGTTACTTGATGGTTTCCTCAGAGTATGTCCAATCCATCTCCATTTCCTCCTGCCTATTTGTTTCACAATCGGTTCCTGGTTGGTTCGCTCCCAGAGATCCCTGTTGCTGATCTTTTCTGGCCATCTGATCTTGAGTATTGAGCGAAGACAACTGTTAATGAAGGTCTGTAGTTTGTTTGAGATGGTCTTTATGACGCGCCAAGTCTCTGATCCGTATAGTAGCACTGACTTCACATTGGAGTTGAAAATCCGGATCTTATTTTTAATGCTGAGTGTTGTTGACCTCCACACAGACTTGAGAGTAGTGAAAGCTTGTCTTGCTTTTCCGATCCTTGCTTTGATATCCTCGTCAGTTCCGCCTGTAGTTGAAACGATGCTTCCAAGGTAGGTAAAGGAGGTTGTTTCTTTCAGGTTCCTCCCATTTATGCTGATTGTTGTCAGTTGTTGTTGTTGCTGTTGGTGGTGTTGCCCAGGAATTTTCATCACCTCTGTTTTATCTATGTTCACCTGAAGTCCTATCTTTGATGCTTCTTCTGCCAACTTGTTGCTTTTCGCTTACATATCTTCCAGTTTGTGGGAAATCAGATATATATCGTCGGCGAAGTCCAGATCCTCCAAGATTTTGTGTGTGTCCATTTTATGCCTGTTTCCTCATTGCCCACTGTTTGTCGCATTATCCAGTCTACTGCAATCAGGAAAATCATTGGCGATAGTAGGCAGCCTTGTCTTACTCCTGTCCTCACTTCGAAGGGTTCCGTAAATTTCCCGTTGTGGATTACTTGGCATGCAGCATTGTCGTACAGCTGTTGGATGAGATGTATAATTGTCGATGGCACCCCGTAGTAGCGAATTAGTTTCCAAATCACCTCTCGATCGACGCTGTCGAATGCCTTTTCGAAGTCAATGAAGTTGAGGTAGAGAGGTGACTGCCATTCCAAGCTCTGTTCAATGATGATCCGTAATGTGGCGATCTGGTCAATGCATGACTTGTTTCTCCTGAATCCAGCCTGTTCTGGTCGAAGTTTTTCATCCAGGGCATGTTTGATTCTCTCCAGGATGATGCGGCTTAGTATTTTGCTTGGGATGGACAGGAGCATAATTCCGCGCCAGTTCTTGCATTGACTTAGGTCTCCTTTCTTTGGTAGTTTGAATAAGTGTCCTTTCTTCCAATCCTCGGGTACCTTGCCTTCTTTCCACACCTTCTCCAGCAGTGGCGTCATCAAACCCGCTGTTGTCTCCGGGTCCGTTTTCAATGCTTCTGCTGGGATTCCATCTGGTCCTGCTGCTTTTCCAGCTTTTAGCATCTTGATTGCCTTCAGGACTTCTGATTTCGTTGGGGGGTTGGTGTTCACTGGTAGCTCTGTCTCCGTTGTTGGTATTGCTGGGCGCGTTGTAGGTGGTGGTCGATTTAGGAGTCTTTTGAAGTGTTCAGCCCAGGCTCAAGGTGTTTAGAAGACTCTATTTTATCAGGTGCATATTCTAAGTTCACAAGACTGTTCCTTAGTAAGAAGTCAATCCTTGATTCGCTGAATTCAGTAAGAGGCAATTTGGTTAGCACAAAGCTGATGAAATTAAACAAAAATGGGTACATTGGACATTCTTAAGGGACTTTACAGATTGTCATCAATTCAGATGACAACTCGTCATGAGCGCTTACACGTCTCCGTGAGTTCGAGTAGAGTGCATTGATTGGCGCGATATACATTCTCAACACTACCTTCACGGCCAGATATCTGCGTATCACATCTCCGCAGACGGAGTCTACTGACTTCTTCAGTTCAACAAACGCGGTAAATGTGCGTATATTCCAGGATCTATTGGAAGGTGACAATGCGATCAATACTCCCTAGTCTAGGTTTGAAGCCAGCTTAATTTTCAGGCATTTATCACCCGCTTAATCTACGCATGGGCACGGAATCTGGAATTTTCCACTTTATGTTCATGAAGTTAACACCCCCATGATAATCACACGAAGATCTATCTTCCCTCTCATAGACCGGAATAGTCAACGATTCGCACTCGTCTGGAGGGATTATCTCATGTTCCCACACATTACGAACATCCTAACTAATTCAGTTAATAGTTCACCATTACCATCCTTAAATACTTCTGCAGTCATATCTAACTAACACTGTGAAGATTCTATTCTGTATCAAAAGCGACTATTAATAATAACAATAATAATAAGCTGAGCAACAACCTCTCTTCTTCTCTCATATGTGGATAATCAGTTAGTCACTCGAAATCACTGTCCGTGTTTTCTCCTACAAGTCTGTAAAATTGTGATGCATTGTATCTAATATCATATTCGAAATTTATTGATTTAACGACTTGGAGATTGATAGAAATGCACACATCCACTAAATTAAATCCGCTTTTACTGCAACTGTATAGACTGTAAATCAGCAAAAGTGGATCTACATCAGCAAGTAGTCTTAACCAGTTATTCAACAGTCAGTCAACTGCTGAATTCAGTTTTCCTGTGGTTCCGACAGAAAGTTATGACATGTAGATTGATCACACTGTGTTTCAGTGTGGATACACACCATTAACAAAATGTGGTGATCATGCTGAAGTGCGAATATAGGGAATCAGATGAACGTAAGCCAATGGATCTAAGCTTGAAAGAAAGTGTAGACAGGAAGAAATCTGAAGGTGCTTATCTAGGTCCTGTCAGGAAAACCGATCATAATGATTCGAAATTGTATACTATGAGGATTGTTGTAGGCTGACTGAAGTATTTCTCAGAGTAAGTTATAATAACAAAACCATCTTCATCAACTGTTTGAAACTTACTTAATGTAGAAACCAATTTTGTAGTCTATCAATTATCTGATGAAAACACTAGAGCTGTAGAGTGTCAGAGATGCTTGTTTTCCAGTCCTTACTCTTCCGTTTGTTCTCTAAATTCCAACTGAAATTCCTAACCTCTTTCAGTTCATGGATAATCAAACAACTTCAAGTTTGAGATGATGGCATGAAATAAAAAGTAGTGATAAATCAGTTATTTGATGATGGTTGCATTCTGATTGGACACTAGTAACTAGTGTGACGTGTCTAGTCCTTTCTTTGGTGCAGACTGAATTCTATCAGTCAGGTTTGCAATGTGGCCACCACTCTAGGTAGCTCGCCATCACGGTGCACATTGATATGATGATATTAGATAGTTAGAGGCAATCGGTTGCATTCGTTAGAATTTCCGCGTGTGAATGTAACCATACTGAGAGCAGGTAGTAATTAATATATCGATTTAAAAGCAAATCAGACAAGTTAGTGAACGAATTTCTTGAGTTGGTTAGGAAATGTATTCAACACTCTACTACTCATAGTGTGTTCTGAAAAACTGAATTACCGTCAAACCGAAATGTGATATTAACCGATGAGGTCAGTAAGTTAACATGCGTTGCACCGGATAGTCTAGGAAATACTTCGGAGCGCTACTCTACTGTCGGGATATAGGCCTGAAACTTCTTGGTGATATGACGAAACCGATGAATTCGTCATTTCCATAGCATGCCATTTCACTTCATACTTTCGTTTCGTAGAAAAGAAGTCGTGGCAGTACGTAATAAGCAGCCTGAGGTTTACCAACAGAAGTGATTTTCGTGGCCTCTTCCTTTAATTTGATCCTCATGTTTCATAGTATGCACAATGCTGACAAAATTCCTTCAGTTCAGTATCCTGTTTCACTTTATTTCACCCCACTGATGCAATCAGTAATGAACAATCTTACAAGGATAGGTCTCACGAGTTGTACAATTATCATAATAATAATAATAATAACTGTCATAATACTGCTAGAAAAGCGAAACTTGTACTTCAGAAAATATCAGCAATACACGCCGAGTGGTTTACAGATTGCACCAAATAGCACTGTCTACTAACAATATTTCGACTAAGTGTGCAATATAGGCGAATTAGGATTATATTAACCATACCTCGACCTGATATTATGCGTGAAAAGAGATTATTGACTGCTCCCTTTTAGTGAAAGTTAGAGTGTCATTGAAAAACTGTATTGAAGACAGTTGTGGAAGAATTCTTACTGAGAAGATTCTCACAGTGATGTAAAAGACTATTTCAGTTGATAAAAATTTCTACCGGCAATCCACCTAGTTTCCAAATTCAACTGTACTCACTTCAGATGTTAAGTAGTGTAGTAAATCATTCTGTGTTCATTCGGAACTCATTTGAACATTTTACTCCTGATAGAGGAGTTACTACAAACCAGATCTAAGCCGGCTATGCTGAACAATTGTGATGATCTGAAAAACTGCATAAATAAATAATTTATCTCTCTCCAAAGCAATGATGAACTGTTAATATTGAAAAGTAATAAATAAATTGCTTACTCAGCAAATAGATCGGTCTCATATAGTTCTCCATATCGCATGTTACGTTCATTTGACCAATCTTCACCTCATCAGGATTCCTGATGACTAATTCACTCCCCACAAAATCAACATGATCCCAAACACTGGAACAACTTACGGAACCAAATGTTATATCGGTAATATTCGGGAGCAAACGGATCCAGTTTGATGTCATCGGAGGACGATGCACACACAGCTTCACTGAGTTCCATGAGTGATCATCCACAAATATTGCATCAGGATGTGCGGAACAATCCAAGTAGCGAGTCAGATTGTTCATAAATAATAAAGTGGTAAAGTGTCGATCACACGAAAAGAGATAGACTCCCTGAGAGAACGAATCCGTAGAAATTATATAGTCCTTCAACTGTTCTTTCTTGTGTTCATCTAAAAGCTTCTGATACAGACACGACGTGAATTTTGATGGCTTATTATCACCACAGTCAGGTGTTACACAAAGAATAAGTGATTTATGTAATGACTTGTCAATTATATGGTACTCGACACTCATATTTATTAACAAGCCAGAACCCCCACCGTGCATATGCAAAATGATCAGAATTTCGATGAGTTGTATTAGTGCAGTCAATGCTGAGTTTAACAGCATGTTTCATGAATTCTTGTATTGAGGAACGTCTAATAAAACAAAATCGCCTGAATAACTGTGTATCAGTCAGTAAAAATCGATAAAACTGCTTGGATCATTTGAAATCATTCATATCGATCGCCTTTTACGAAAATTCCTGTTAAATTATGTCTATACAATACCCTACTGTCTATCATCAATGCTTATGAACTAAACAAATGACAATTGATTGCTACACATATCAGATTTAATTGTCGTATTACGAAGAAGCTTCGTAGTATTTTGATTTATTGCAAACATTCAACAAGAGATTGACGGAGAAAATGAATCCGTTCTAGCCTCTTTCAGATGTTATTATTGCTTTGTTCAAAATAATCAATGATACTTGCTGAGAAAAGCATCGAAGTTCAATAAAGTAGGGTGAATCTCATCCCAGTATGTGACCTGCTCAATGATGTAAGTAAAGAAAGCAAAAGTAGCATGATGATATATACTGTTGTTTGATTTGAATGGTGGGTAATTTCAACTACTGGTTTCATTCAGTAGTATGCAGCATCATGTTGTCGAAATTTACTTGTGTCTTTCCAGTTATCAGCACTGGTTTCACCCACTCCTCAACCGTCTCCTGTATTCGATTCATCCGCTGAGATTACATATTGCCGTGTTGTGATGATTTGGTCATTTGTATTTATTTTCGCGATCACAGTATACAGTATAAATAACCAACTATGCAGATGTCTCAGTTCAAGCGATTTCTGAAATATCAGAGTCCCATGAGTTCTACTTCGGCTCACTCTTCTTGCTTGTCTGTATGTCAGAAACCAGACTGTTCTGATTCTTTTCCAGTTTTCTGTGCAAACGTTTCTTGCAGATCTGATCACAATTGTAAAGTCAATAATACTTTATCCGACCACTAATCCGTCAACTCATTCACGCTGTTTTATGCATTACTCAGAGTAACTAAATTGATCAACTTCATCTGGGGAACTGATTACCATCAGATGTGCAGTAAAATCTATTCCGTGAGGATATGCCTTCAAAGTTTTAACTAGACAATTCTTTTTACTGTGAAATGTGTTGCTTATGGCTGTATGTGAAGTGCAATAATTGAACACTTTGTAGACACCGGTCAACAAACTCTTTCAACGCGATCTACAGAGTGAAAAGCAACCTGCTTAGGGCGGTCCACTTCCGCCTCAATTGGACTGCTGAAACTCTAGCTATGCGGATGGAGATACCGGAGCTGTGCATACAAAAGAGAATCTCTCATCCACTTCTATCATCAGGCGAGGATCTCATCATTTTCAAGCCAACTCTTTTACCTATTTTATCTCTCTTACCCTTTCTGCTTCATATATCCCTCCTCCACTAGCTCTTGAGTAACAAAAAATTTCCTATGTTTCTATGCACATCCTATCTACAACTCACTTATTGAATTATTTATCTCATAACGTAATTCCATCACTCTGATACACTCAACATGTACTGATTAATATCAGCAAGTATTCACATTATGATTCATCGCTTTCTCACTCTCCTCTCTTACGAGGAAACAGTGTACTCAAATGCGTTTGTGCAGCTGACGAAAATGAATTCACAAAAGGAGAATATTCGCAGAATCACGTGTCTTATTTTTTTATTAATGGTAGGCTTAGTCAAAAAGTAAATTCAGGTTTAGTAGCGTGAGTGATCATTGGTTCGATTGGATTATACTCAGTAAAATTGTGTTCAGCAACCCACTGGTCGACTGAAGTCAAATAAACCAACGAAAATGAATGTGTATTGTTCTGCACTGCACAACTCTTATTCACATAAATATCACACAAAGTGATTTTCGATCTACTTCTTTATCAACACTACCTAGTTTTCCGTAGTTATTGTTTCACGTGAAGGAGTGATATCCACGCAGTGCATGTACAGTATACAAATCGAAGAATTCATATCTACCAAATATTCTGTTGTACTGTAATTGTTCACACGAAAATATCGAAGGTGGAATCGGATTACCAACACAGATCATCAATACACTTAAATCAGTGTGGAAATCTGCTGCACTAACTATAAAGAACAAGATTTGGATTTTCAACAGTAATGTGGAGTCAGTCAGTGTTTCTATATGCTTCAGAGTCTGAAGGCGTTTCGAGCATAATCTATTGCTCATAATCATATCAAGGTAGTCACACAACTTTCTTGCTTCGTTCATATACATGAGTAGCGATTGATAAGTCATTTGAATAGAATCAGTAAAAGACTTGCGTGAAACATAGTGGAAGACAGAGTGCCTTCGGAAACAATATTACTGTTGTCTACAACATATAAAAGGATGGGAAATTAGATGAGTGTTTTTAGTCAATAAGATGGAAAATAAGATGGTTTTAGTGAAGCAAATAACTTGTGACAATGTTACACAATGTGAATTAAGATAAATTTTATCATTACTTATTATCCTTTGATTTGACCGGTAATAAAATCTTCCAGATCTCTGATATGGGACAGAAGTGTACGGGATCTGCGAGAGCAGGTGGAATGGATATGGACTGTGACTGACTGACTGACTGGCTGACTGCTTTCAACATGAAACTTTGCACAGATATGCAGCAGTTCGAGTTGCCCCACTCTCTCCTTGAAGCAGACAAAGCAAGAGTAGAGAGTAAGGAGAGATTGAAAAGACAGGGAAAGAATAAAAGGAAGTGTGAATAAGGGAGAAATAATGGTACTATGAAAGAACAATAGAGTTTTATTGGATATGAAAAATCACAGAGAGTGGATCCATCTTCGCTATTCATTGAGAACGATTTTTAGCCATATCACCAGTTGTCTCTAAACATTGGTTCTTACCATCCGGAAGACACCAACCAGGAAGTATACACCTCCCGATGTTACTAGTTTTAAGTTACTGTTATGGATTTCATTGATTGATGAAGACATATTTTGGTTTGACGATCACTAAAATCGCCCGTCGAGGAAAGCGATTTCTACAGATGCATGCGTAACGCATGTCCTAACCATCTATCCCAATCGGTGTAACTTCACAACCGCATCAATTGATTTCCCATCCTTACCTTACACTCAACCGATGCCTAACCTCAATACTGACCACCCCATTATACCACCTAACACAGGAGACAGAACGCAGACACCGTATCATCTGCATATTCTAAGTCAACGAGATTATCCCCTGGTAACAAGTCAATCCCTGAGTTGCTGAAGTCACTTGTGGTTAAGTTCATGAGTACGTAGTTCTATTACGAAATTAGACGGAAATGGGGACATTGGTGAGCATCGCTAACGGACAGCACTGGTTGTCACCACCTTAGATGACAACTCTCCGTGGTCCCCCTACCTGGCTGACTGCATGAGTTCGAGTAGAGTACCTTGATCAGTGTGGTGAATTTTCTCGACATTCCCTCCAAAGCCAAACATTGCCAAAGAACATCTTGGTCGACGGAATCGAGTGACGCTTTCAGGTCAAGAAATATGACGAATGTTGAACGCCGGAAAGTATGCCTGTGATCCAGAACCTGTTGAATGGTGAAGATATGAGCGGTACACCCTCCTTCTGGTCTTAAGCCTGCCTGGTCCTATCGTGCTTGTTTCTCATGAGCACCACTTAGTCTACGCATGATTACTGAGCCTAGAACTATAGATACTATACTAGTCAAGCTAATCCCTCTGTAATTATCACATGAAGACTTGTCTCACTTCTTGTATATCAGGATAATCAATAACTTACACCAGCCCAACAGGACTATCTCTGATTCCAAGACGCTTCCTAATACCTCAGTTAACGCAGAGAGTAAATTGTCTCCACCTTCCTTAAACACTTCTGGAGTCACTCCATCAGGTCCCGCTGCTTTGCTTCCTTTCAGATAAGAGATAGCTTTCAGCCTTCCATTTGTCTATCCTGAGAGCTAAATAGGGCACCATTTTTTCCGGAGACTGTTTCACTTATCATTTGCCTTTCACTTCCTGTTCTCCTGATAAGCCTCAATAGTTGCCTGGTGTTTCCTGTCGCTGATGCCTTTTCCATCTCTTTCGCTTTTGTCACCCACCACTGTTCACGGTCGTCGCAAAGCCCTTTTGTCAGCTTGCGTTTGTGCAGCTTCCACTCCTCGTCATTTTCGGAGCTCGCCAGAATCAATCTTCTCGCCTTAATCAGTTCGGATGAGGTAGTAGAAATCCACTGGCTTTTACTGAATTTTAGTTTCAGGTTATTAACGGCCGTTACATCTGTGTTTCAAGCTAGATAACAACTAGCTAATTTCAAGTAACTGAGTAGCTAATCAGTTAGTCAAAATCTTAACGATGACGAGAGGGATATTCTCTTGTAAGAGGATAAACGAATGTGGTGCAAGATGCATAGTTTACTAATCCTTTTAAAATATACAACTGAATGTCTTCTAATACAACTCATAGTATTTGCTTCATTTCCTAAAATCCATGTAATAATACTTCTATTAATGAGTGCATAGGTAGCATATTTAGAAGAGAATCACAAGTATCAGTGTAGGTCATCTTCTCTTCCAATCAAAATTCAAAGTAGCACTCAGAAAATGTTTCCGTGGAAATCACTTCTTGATGAGATCACCCATAGCCTTCCACTAAAATAATCCCCATTGAGCAAGTAACATTGTTTGAGAAAACTATTGGTTTGATATGTGCAGCACATAAGTTAGCCAGCTGAAATGATTAGT